TTAGATATAGTGTACACTATGTATGCAATATCCTCCACATCGGGAAAGAAGTCCACGGTCACAAGTGTATAATCCAACGTGACAGGGCTCTATATGTTTTTGATTGGCAAGAGTAAATATTGTGGTCATGGTATATTCAGCCCCATAAGTCAGTAAGGGACAGGGTGTTGCACACGGAGACTTATTATTTATTTGGGGTGTTTTTTTTTTTAATGTATTTAATTTTTATTTTACACTTAAAACAGGTCCTCTTTATGCTATCACATAAGGGGGATAACAAGCCCACTATGTGATAGATAATATACAGTGCCAGGTCCTCTTTTTGGAGACATGAGGGGTCTCTAAGACCCCTTATGTCACCTAGGGACCCCAAAAGAAGCTGATGAAGCAGAGATCTGCTTCATCAGCTTCTTCACTGGTTCTCACACAGAGAAATGACAGCTAAAGGCGGACGTGATGTAAATCACATCGCTTCCGCCTCTATACAGGCAGCTGCCGTGCCGGTCCACGATTAGCTGCTCCTTCATATTAAACCCTAGAGAGTTTCATGCCATCAAAGTCTTTCATACTCAGGCTTTGGCTGATTTCTAAAGAAAACAAATTGTAAGACTTTGCAAACCCTTTGTTATGATGCATCTAGAATGTATTAAGCTGATTCAACTGAGAGCTATATTGGACCTTATGGGCTTTAGTTCTCTTTTGGTTCACAGGACTACATTTACTAATGTACTCCTGCGACCCAAAGTCAGAATATAGCGGGTACTGCCCGATATATGCTGACAGCATTGAGCCGCGCTGCAGCTGGGAACGATTCTGACAATATTGACTCACTGCCTGATTGACAGCTGGCTCTGCCTCTCTAGAGCCAGAGCCAGCTGTGTCTGTAACCTCCCTTGTCTATCCCTTTAATGAGTGCTGGAGGAGGGGAGGGGGGAATCTCTGCGGGGCTGACTGACAGTCACCGCTACAGGGAGAAGCCATGAGCTGAGTGATCAGCAGTTTGTGATGGCTCAGTTCTCATTCTACAGAGCCGACGTGTCACAGCTGCAGTATCACACGCAAGCTCTAAGTATTGGGAAGAGTACATTTTACTTTCCCAATAGTTCTCCTTTAAATTCACAACTAGTACTTTTACCTCAGAAGGTTTAAGGATAACTTATAAGGGTTACCTCACTTAGCCCTTGTCAGTAAATACTGTCATATACTTTTTTCTTGCCGAGAGACAGCAAGAATAGCTAGTGTGAGGGGGAGTCTATGTGGGCGTAAGATTGAAATGACTCTTCAAGTCAGGCACACGGTCACGGAGCGCTGCCCAACTTGCGGGAGCAGCTACACGGTCTGCATCTCTGACGGCAGACTGCAGAACTGCTCCTGTCAGCTCTGGCCGGAGCTCTGTCAGTTCTGAGCTCCGGCCGAATGATGGATCATTAGTAAGGTCTAGTGCAGACCTTACCAATGATCACCACTAGATAACCAGGGAACGACGTGTCTCCTCCCTGCACGGATGAAAGCAGGTGAGGGGGCTTGGAAGGAAAGGAGGGAGGAAGGGGGGCTTTATTAATATGTGTGCTGGGGGGCTTTGGAGGGAAGGGGAAGTATATTATGTGTGCTGGGGGCTTTGGAGGGAGGGACACCTATATTTCAGGTACGATTGGGGATTGGGGATGTGTCACAAACTTGCGTTTTCCTGCAGCAGGAATACCTAATCTGTCGTTTACATGTAGCAACTGTCACCCATTCAAGTTAATGATCGGGTGACAGCTGCTGCATGTAAACGTCTACATACCGCATGTAATTGTATGTGATGTGATTACATGCAGTTTCAAAAACAATCACTATCCCTGGATACACAATTGTGTATCCAGGGATAGTGACAGATTCCTAACTGCATGTAATCCTTTCACGTATGATTAAATGCGGTGTGCAGGCATTTAAATGCAGCAGCTGTCACCCGATCATTATTTTGAATGGGTGACAGTTGCCGCTTGTAACATATGCATACATTAACACTGGTACCGTATATATAGTAATGGCCCCCACGAGACTATAACATTTGTCCAGTGGCCCCCGACTAAATTGAGTTTGAGACCCCTGCTCTACAGGGTAGTGCCAACTTACCTGGTCAATGTCACACTACAGTAACATGTTATATTATAATTTGTAAAGTTTCACAAACCCGAAAGATGTGGATGTTAACCAGTGCTGGAAGCACAAACCATTCCGTGGACAATGAAAGCCATTATATAAAATGCACGCATCCATATTTACACCTCATATAATTACATAGCAGCTATCCTGTATTTGACCATGGCTGCTAGCATCCAAAGGCAAGTAGTAAGGTGGCACATGCATTTTTTACCTTGATCCTTTAATACAACTAAGATGAGATATTAGCGGTATAATTTCTAGCACTTTCACCCTACAGTATGCCATAAATGTACTTTATATCAGTGCTTCTTAAAGTGTGGGTCGCACCTCCAAGCTAGGTTTTTTTTTTCAGTTTAATGTATAATTGGCAGTTTAGTGTAGTTTCTAAGGTCCCGGCCCCCCTTGTGCACATTGACTGAACTTTCTTTAACCCAGGAGCAGTGGAGCACAGCTGCTGGACGTAAAGGTAAGGAGGGGGAGGGGGCTTGGTAGTACTGAATTATATAACCTCAAATAATGCAGCAAAGAATTATGATAAAATGAAACATTATTTTTCATTCGATTCCAACTTGCTGCCTGTTATCAATTTCAAACACAGCCTAAGCTGTCTTTTCACAATCCCACATGTGCTAAATAATTCTTGTCGTCTAGGTGAGAACACGGGGGTGAGAAGCAGCGTGTGATTTGTCTAATCTTCATGGAAACAGCAAGCCACATAGAAAGGGTTTTGAACTGCGACACATTTCTACACGGGTGTGATGAATGATAAAGCATTACCGGTGAAAAGACTTCAAATGTATTAATATATCTTATGAACTGAGTGAAATATCAGTATATATGAACGTGACAGTTCCTTCACTACAATTTGGAATGCATTTAAATGTGTGACAGATGTAGAAAAAAAAGTAAACCAACAGACAATGTAGTAAGGTCTGCAGTAGAAAACAAATACAGGCTCATATATTATGTCAATGAGAAGTTCCAGTTGCAATAGTAGTGATTGCAGTTTCAGCAAAGAAAGGGTTAAATAACTGCATTAAAAGCCCTGTATGCCAATATTTGACAGCTATCTATGAGTGACATCGGCACATACGTCTCAAAGAGACCATATCAGTAAGTGCACAGAAGTCACCTAAAGCCAGCCTGTAAAAGAAGGTGATGTATATCTACCATGCTGGTGGCCTGGACCTTCAAACTCCACTGTGTTGCAGATCTGTGGTCGCAGCTGATATCCAACACTTTTGGGTGTGTCAGTATTTGGTTCGCAGGTGCACAGTGGTGCCTCGAGAAGCCATCCACAACTCTGCCCCCGGATATATCTCAGGCCTTGTCTCAAAATATCACCCTAACCGTCCACTCCGCTCTTCCCTAGACCTCCTGCTTTCCAGCTCCCTAGTCAACTCCTCCCATACTCGCCTCCAGGACTTCTCTAGAGTCTCTCCCATCCTCTGGAACTCTTTACCCCAACCTGTCCGTCTATCTCCCACCCTGACTGTCTTTAGGCGTTCCCTGAAGACTCTTCTCTTCAGGGAAGCCTATCCCATCTCAACCTAACCACTGAACCATCACATTCTCAAACAATTCATCCCCACACAGCTACCTCCTCATGTATCATTTCCCCCTCCTCTTTCAGATTGTAAGACCTCAGGGGCAGGGCCCTCCTTACCATCCTGTCTTGAATTGTATTGTAATTGTTATGTCTTCCTTACATTGTAAAGCGCTGAGCAAACTGTTGGTGCTATATAAATACTATGTAATAATAATAATAATAATAACTATAGGTCTTGTGTCAATACTAAATACAGGAGCCAGTGGAATGAACCACAACACTTGTAAAATAAAAATTGAATACACATAAATCTAACAGATCTAAATCATCAGTTTGAATTTTGTTTAAAGTAAAATCATATTGGCCCAAACCCATCATTTTAAACGGCAGGCACCCCTAGAAGTCTGCAAGTGACATAAGTAACCATGTATCCTTTTCTGTGTGTTCTTACTCCCTATGTAACATATTGTATTATGTAGATTGTTTCTATGACATGTATCATTTGTGATTTATTGAATTGTAGATCTTTATTAAGGCTCCTGAGGAAGCATACTCGTGAAACGCGTTGAGCCTACAACTATTCATAATCTGTTCAAGCCAGAACAACCTATGTATATGTATAGATATGTAAATGCCATTATTTCTGTCCCATACTTATTATGTATGACTGATATTTGAAAAAAACATGAATATGTACAATTTGTGGCACCTAATAAGCCCCACTTTTGCTAAGTTGTTTCTTCTAATATTATAGGGCTGTGGTATCACCCATTTACCTCTTACTCCCCCCTCTTTTATTTACCATATGTGTATATTTAATGTTTTATTTAGGGATACACTGGGACCAGTTTTTCAGTATGGAGTAGGAGCACCAATATATTTTTTCCGGTACTCACCGATACCAAATATCGATACCGGCATCCATGGGCCCAGATAATCAGGAAGCCAGGTGGCGGGTCATGTGGACAGCATCCTTGGAAGGTACAATGCATTCATACACCAAGCATTAAAAGAATATTTAATTGCGGGACTACAATTTGCAATGATTTTTAGCAGCAGTTTTCTTTTATTTCTATACTATGTCATTTATTTAATAATTGTGAGAAAATGACAATCACAATTGTGCATTTTTCTCTTACATGTGTAGAGAATGTACAGTAGCAGTTGCATAGAAAATACATTGTGCAGAAAATATCAGTTTTTACATTGTATTTGACAGGTTATGGTAGGATAAATGTAAATGAAAAAATGTACTGGGGACAAACACAATAATTCATATGAAGGCATACAAGTGGTTTTAACTTCAGGCTTTTCTCCTCTGATCCTTAAATGTCTCATAGTCATCTGGTATTGTATCTGCAAAGCAAAAATACATTTGTCATTCTTATCAACCATCAGAAAACAATACAGAAATTAGTATTTTTCGCATAATTATTTTTTTTCTTCTTAATTTATGAACAAAGTTCTTGTTCAGGCAGTTGAATTGATATAGGCAGTAGATTGTCTGCAAAGAAAATTGTCCAATGTAGGATGTAAAGAGGAGACTAAGGAGGAGACTACTGTGTTCATAAATTCCAAAGCAGCTGTGTGTGATGGAGTAGAGGAAACGGGGAACATTTCTTTAAATAAAACAGTGTGATCTGAATAGGGTTTCCACCTTTTCTTCAAGTGAAACCCAAACACTAACTCCGCATGGCAATATTTTGGGAAGAGTATACAGGAGAGAGCGAGGATAGACAGCCAAGGGAGAAAGTGAGGAGAGACAGTCAAGGGAGAGAGAGACAGGAGAGACAGCCAGGAGAAAGAGCGAGAGACAGCTAGAAGAGAAAGCAAAGACAGAACCAGGGGAGATAGAGAGAGGAGAGACAGGCAGGAGAGAGAGCAAAGAGAGAGAGAGCCAGGAGTGCGAGGAGGGACAGCCAAGAGAGCGAGAGGAGAGAATTAGGAGGCCTTACACTGACCGCCAATGTAACGGAACTATTCTCAGTGACTGCCACAATAACAGAGGTATAAACACTGACCATGCAATAATAACCTTATTTGTGCCCTGCTCTAAATGCAACAAAACCCCAGCAACCAAATAGATCATACTCATTCAGATAATATGTGAACTATTTATAAATTCCCCAGGACAAAAAAATCCCTTTTAGTGCATCAATATAAACCACTTTGTGATACTCACCCGACACTCACCCGACTGGAATATCCTTATACCACCACTGTGTATACAAACTGCTCACCTGTTTGACCTTAATGGAAAAAGGTCTCAGAGCACAGATCCCTTTTTGGCACCCAGCCAGTAGGGATAATGCCTTTTCATATGTGGAGTATGTACCCTGTTTTCCCGAAAGTAAGACCTAGCACTATTTTTCAAGATTCCTGTAATATAAGACCTACCCTGTGGTAGCATGTGAGGGGAAACTAGAAGAGCAGGAGTGATGGTATCAGCCTACGGGGACATACTGTATTAAGGGGATGACAGGGGACTCCCTCCGGCCAGCGCAGTGACAGGGAGCACTCCAGTACCATACTTCACCAACTGCTGTCCCCCTGAAGGCACTGCTTAATATAATGGTACTGTACTGTAATGTGTACCGGTAAATGGTACCGTACTTTACAGCGCTGTCCACTGTCTGATGTCCCCACTGCTGCACCGCTGGTCCCGCTGTCCCTGATGGCAAAGGAAGCCACAGCTGTAGAAAGCAAGGCTGCGGCGGCGGAGGTAGCAGAGCCACATTAGCCGATACTTCATCTATAGCGCCGGTTACTGTGGCAGGCAGAGTGATACCAGATGCACTCCGCCTGTGAAAGAAAGGGAACAGCATTACCGATACTGACCAGTAGGAAAAGAAAGAAAGAGCCACAGTATTATTCTCATTCTTACCATACCAAAAAATAAAATAAGACATCCCCTGAAAATATGACCTAGTGTGTTTTTTTGGGTTAAAAAAAATATAATACAGTGTCTTATTTTCGGGGAAACACGGTAACATTGAGGATTGTATCCGCTCAAGACACCCGAGGACATGAGGCTGAAGAAAAACGTCCTGCACCGAGACACTGCCAGAATGCCGCACTGTACCACCTTCTACAATGCGGGGGCGTGTGCGGAATTTGCATATCAATTAACAACGATATTTACATATTAATGATTTGTGAGTTATTTATATGTAAACAGTGTTGCCCATTCATATATAAATAGCACCGTCAGTCGGGCCTATTTTCTGTCAGGGGGCCAGTAGCCCCTATCTTAATTTTGGTTGCCCCTGTCTGCCTGACATCTTGTGCCTGGATCTCAGTTGCCATGAAAACCGGAGACAGCATTCAAATTCCGGACTGTCCGAATGAATCCCGGACAGGTGGCAACCCTAGGTCTGCATACAAAATCATGCTCCACCTCCTCACACAAGACCGATCCATTAATTCAGGTGGACCTTCAGATTAATGTTAATGTTAGATGTTTAATAGCGCAACCAGGTCTTTCACTTTAAACTGAGCTTCAAGACTCCATGAGTCAGCCCTTCTGCTTTTAATTTTTTAATTTTCTGTGAATTGTTTGCAGTTTTCTAGCTAGAGATCCTGTCAAATCAGGTGTATCAGATAAGACAGCCCAATAACCAACTGAAGGAGCAAACATGGCAGATGGAGCTAATTGTGAGTCAGTGTCCTAGCATTGTCACCCTGCAACAGGAAGTGCTTTTACTGGCAGGATCTCCAGATAAGAAACTTTGCTAAAGATTTATGAAAAATGTGCTTAAAGCGGAGCTCTGGGCAAAATGTTTCTTAGTTAAGAGCTTGTTTTTGTCTAGGTACGAAAAAAAGTTATACTCACCTGATTCTCCAAGACACACTTTTAACAGAATCTATCCTGATATTAGGTGTCTATGGTCAAAAACTAAAAATAAATATGTATTTCTGTATTGAATTTCCATAAGTTCTATCCCACTCCTAATAACCATATCCATCTAGAAGTTTGTAAACTTACATATTGAAGATGTACTTCCTCAATGTACTGACACAATTTCACTCAGCCCTGTGAATATGCACTTCCTTGTAGTTCAGAAGGCATGCTTTGTGATAGTTGTGACACAACTCAACATGTGAACTTTCCACAGTGTAACATCATCATTGTTTGCTGGAAGCAATGCTTGATGGGATACAGTATGTAGTCTTGGGAAATCACATCAAGAAGCAGGGGAAGAGATGGGCAGACAGAAGGCAGCACTTCCTACATAAAAGCAATTTTTTCAAGTATGCTTTGATTACATTATGAACTATAGCAGTTCTCACCAGTGCGTTGCACTGAAAAAAAGTAGAGCCTGCTCTACTTCTTTTTAGCGGAGGGAAGCACAGCGCAATGCAACATATTGGTGTGAACTTCTCTCATTCACACCCATTCATTTTCGGATGTCCTTGCCTTGGCAGCCATTGAAAAACAGATGCCAACACATCTGGTGTGAATGGGGCCTTAAGGGGGAGCTACAATTATATATCTGCCTCTGACTTTCGAATGGCTCGTTAACACTGTGACGACATGGTAATCAGTTTTATGAGTTGAATGTGTATTGGTGTTGAGTTCTGTTTGAGTGCGTTATACTGTGTAACCTGGTTATGAAAATACTATCAGCCCCTCCCCTCATTATCATCCCATTATCTCTGAAGGAGCTCAGAACAATGACATTCTGGCCAGACTCCTGCTATGGCTGTCTGGAGCTTGTTAGTAGGGGAAACCCTTTGGTGTTATGAAGACAGATTGTCTGGGGAAGGCAGGGTGGATGTGATGGGATTATAATCTGATCTCATCACTTGCTGTATAAAAGGTTGCACAGTTGCTCAATAAATCAGAGTTTGTTTCACCCTACACTCGTGTCTCGACCAGTGACTGGGGAAACTGATAGCTAAAGATCTTCAGGATGCAATATCTCCTCAGCAAGGAAGAATAAAGCAGCGGAAATGCTCATCCTGAGTAAGGGGGTCCGCCACAAACACCATTAACGGTGACTGACAATTTTCAGAAACTTGTCATTGCCAGTGACCACTAGGGTACATTGAAAATGGTCAGAGCACCTAATCTCTATGCTTGTATTCAGTTAGTGACTCTGATGCTATTCAAGCCAGGGGACTTGAACCAGGTTTTGGTGCTTTTGGTAGTGTGAGCAGGTGCCAAGTCCTGCTGGAAAATGAAGTCAGCATCCCCATAGAGCTCGTCTGCAGAAGGAAGCATGAAGTGCTCCAAAATCTCCTGGTAGACGGCTGCGTTGACCCTGAACTTAATGAAGCACAGTGGACCAACACCAGCAGATGACATGGCTCCCCAAATCAACACAGACTGTGGAAACTTCACACTGGACTTCAAGCATCTTGCAGTGTGTGCCTCTCCATTCTTCCAAAAGATGTCACCAGCACTCCAAAAGTAGATTCAATATATTTTAATGACAACGGTCATTCAAAATCACAAGTACTTTCGGGGCCACGTTGGGTCCCCGTCATCAGGCTCAGAATAACACACTGTGCAACCCAAACCTACATATATATACATCCGTGACCTTTAAAAACACAGCCAATCCCGCCCCCAATTGCATAACAAGTACATGTTTCCCGCCCTGTCAGTTTTGAATTAGGTAAACAACTGGTCAGTTAACAGCTGTGTGGTAGTACCGCCCCTCTGCTCACTCGCGCAAGCGCATAATGAACTGGAGGGCCGAGGCTATGCATCAATACAGGTTCCAGCGTAGTGCAGAGATCTAACGCCATTGGTCCACCTAGTCATGTGGCATGTTAAACACGATCCATGCAAATTACGCAGTGTCATTCAATATATAACAGAAGTGCAGAATCATACAACTGTTGACAAATGTGGTCACATATAGTTGCAATAATGAATTGTTGCAATCGTAATTTAGATATGAAAAATATCAAGAAGGTGTAGCCATTGCTTGCCCCTAATAAAAAAGTTTTGGATTTGTTAAAGAAATCCAAATAAAATATAAAAATTAATTCAATAATTAGTGATTGGCATTCGTCTGTCTATCTCTGAATGTGTCCTATGTGGTGGAGAAGAAGCTTCTACATACTATGTAGTGGTTTTCCAACATGGTCTAACTGACAAACTTCTGTCTTCCTGTGAGGGTGTTTTTTTATGGAGGTGTGTACATCTTATCATAATGATTCATTGCTCTTCAGTATTTTTTTTTTTTAAGAATGACCTGCACTTTATGGACCATTACACACTACCCATCCAGAAATATTAAACTTACCATTACAACGATATCTTAGGTTGGACCAAATTATGCTCTCCTGAGAGAAACAGAAGACTCCAAGACGTCCTCCTCTCATTGTAGTGTCAATTATGACCCCAGAGTCTGCTACCAGCTCAGGACCCTCAAAAAACTTGACCCTAAAAAACAAAATGTCACATGTACAATGACCGTAAAAACTTGAATCGCACAATTATCAAGAACCCACTGCTCAAGTAAGCTGTTGTAACCAATGTGGAAGTTATATGTTCAAAGAGTACAGATGATGTGCAGTATGACAAAGTGAACTTGGTCTACTAGTAATATAGTATCTGTAAAGGGTTGCTGTAAGTTAATGCTTTTTGCATGATTGAAAACCTCAATTTAGCATGAAAGCATAATGCATTTAGACATTATTTACTAGGGCTGCATCATCTTTAGTCATGAAGAATATTTCAAGCAGAAGTTAACTAAAAAAATAAAATGTGAGGAGGCAGGCCTTTTATTGCGATCTTCTTCAGAATGTACACTAAGCTGTACTATCCATTTTATCCTAAACAAAAAAAATTGTAAAAATGAAAGGTTCACTTTAGTCAGTCCTCCACCCTTCAAACTGAAATTTGTTTACAAAAAACCCTACAAAAGGAAGCGCTTACAAAAATAACCTCAGCATGGCTTCTGATGCATGTGGGATGTGCAGGTGACATCACCATCATCACATTCAACACAAGCTTTAATATGTGTTTTGTATGCTGTCAAATTTAAAAGATTATGTGGCTTAAAAACAATGCAAAAATCATGGGACTATGCAAAATAAATTAGCAATATACAGTAAACTCCCCATTATCTGGCATTCAAGCAACCAGAACTCTCAAGCAACCAGAAAAAAAAAATCAAGGACATGTGTCCTCAATATTTTTTGCCAGTTCCTTGATACACATGTCCACACTAAAAAATGTTGTTAGCAACTAAATTTATTGCACTAAATTTATTGCACTAAATTTATTTAGTTGCTAATGAAACTCTATGTTTTCACCTCGCTGCGCCCGACAGCTAGGTTCCGCAGCTGGAAGGTAAATATATACAACGGGCAGTGGACGGGTGCAATAGCCAGCCTACTATCGGCTATGACAATTTCAAATAGCCAGTAGCAGAATTCAGCCAGCAGATGAATAGAGCAGGGTTAATTCTTTAGAGTTAATAGTAACTCTCCAGCAAACAGAAAGTACAGTTATCAGGCATCTATCAATCCCCATGGGTACCGGATAACTGGGAGTTTACTGTAGTGTTCTGTGTGTTGAAAGGGCTGATTAACACCATATGAGTTGTTAAAAAAAAAAAAAAGGTCTACCAATTAAAAAGTACACAATACGAAACGCTGGGATCATCGGCACTGTGTCAGGCAATGCACACCAGCTGCTGTATGTTTACCGCAGCCGCTGGTGTGATTGCCCCTATAAGTGTTCTATAGGTAAACATATGATTTTCCAAGTCTAATTTGTACTTGCCTTATGTATCCTACTGAAGGTCTATTTTGCAGGAACCAGCGGTATGATGTCTTATCTTTCCAGCCCACATTTCGGGGATCTTTCCATAGTAGTCTGACTTGGTTGGCTGAGTCTCCTGTGTGCCACAAGGAATTCCTAAGTTGTTCCCCAGGCCCTGTAGTAGACTTGACAGCCTGTTGCAAAACAGTTAATGACAATTTAAACAAGAGTATATAGGTTGAATTAGCTAGACTGTCTTGCAGATCTCCTAGTGTAACTAAAATCCCATAATTTGCTTTGATCTTTTTTGCCAAGTTTTGCACATCTGAAAATATAAAACTTTATTTGGACTGTCATAGATAAAAGCAAAACAATATAACTTATACATGTTTAATTAAGTAGTAGACATATAGGTTGTCTGAACTAACCTAATTTACAACCAGCTGTATCTCATTGCAGGATGTGAATAATAAATAAGGACGCATGCTGAAATGTGTCCTTACATGTGTTTTCTGACTGTTGGTTGCACTTATACACTTGGCGATCTATTTATAAACAATTAATTGGGCTCTTTACCCTGTGAATATCTGTGAATGTTCATATTGTGTGAATAATGGCAAAACAATATTGCATTTGTAATACTGCATTATAGCCAGTAGATGGAGCTGAGGAGCATAGGAAATAAGTATTTTTTTTCTATGCTCCCCAGTCACACTGTTCACTTCCTTGACAAATTGTGCAGCACGTGACTGGGGAAGGTTTGGTTCAATGGAACATACGCAGTAGGGCGAGCCTGAATGGAATTCAGAATTTGTTTATGTCATGACCATTTGTGGCTGCAGTACATTAATGATATTTTCATAATTTAAAATAGGTGGTGTCCTCAAATTTGAGTAATTTGTACATTTCTTGAGAGTCGCAATAAACAAATTTAAATCACATGCAAATAATTTGTGAAAAGAGGTTACCCAAATTAGGTTGTTGAAAAAGCACTGACTCAGGCATATACTATTATCCTTCTCAGGCTCCCAAGCTAGATAGGGTTCCTTTTGTGCAAACATATAACTTTCTCTCAGATGAATTCAGAAATACTTGCTCACTGGTCTACATCAGAAAAACTACTGGGCTATTTAAGTGTCAGTTCCAAAAGCACAGGAGTGACATCAGGGAGGCGCTCGAGAGCCACCATCTGCACAAACCAAGCAACCATTACAAAACTGTTGCGCTCCATTTTGTTAAAACCAAACACCAGATCCATGAGTTGAGGGTGTGGCCATCAATCAGGTCTCTAGCTCAAAGCATGGCGGTGACAGATACCATATTCTTCTTAAGAGAGAATCTTTTTGGATTCACGCACTGCAGACGGTGGCCCTGAGAGGCCTTGATACCATGTTATCACTCTTGTGCTTCCTGCCAAATGTTAGCCCAGCTTCTCATATTAACTGCTTGCTCCATGTATTCAGATTGTAGTGTCAATTAAGATATTTTGCAATTGTTTAGTCACTTGTTCACCTGTGTGACTGTTGTACCCCATGCATATTCAACATCTCCATTTTCATTAGGTCCAGTCGTGCCTCTCATTGAAGGTTCAAGATTGTTTACTTTTATTTTTGTCGTCTTTTTCTTTTTTTTTCAGTATATATTTTTCTTTCCTTAGTTAGGGGTTGTATTTTTTTTTCCCTTTTGGGTTTATATCCTTTTTCCGTTAAGTTCTTATTGGCCAGTCTCTTTTTTTGACGCTATGTACTTTAATATTTTATTGCCCTGCATTATTATTTTTCACCACAAGATGGAGTCTCATGTGGTTTCTTCCAGATTAGATTGGTCTTTTCCGCAATATTATTTTTTGCCACTAGATGGAGTCTTATGTGCTTTCTGCCAGAATAGATTGGTCTTTGCTTTCAGGCTGATTTGCACTAGCTACGGGTCACTTCCAGTTCCTGGAATGCACAGGCATGTGCAGTATGCTCACTTCCTGTATTTGGAGTGCAAACTGCTCTCCATGCTGAGCTAAGGCATATATGTGCAGTCCTTTTAAGGACTGGTGATTGCAGATTTTGATAATGTTGCACAGCTAAGCAGCCTACTATAACAACTACAGCAGCCGAATTTTATGACATGATTCTTTGGGAAATTGCATTTAGGGCGATGCACACTTTGTTTACTTTATGGGTGAGTACCAGACCCTGCATGGGCAACCAACTTGCCACATAGAATTGTAATTAGATGTTGGTGTATAAAGAGAGGTATTGTTTTTTTTTTTGTTATAGACTGTCACCTTGAGAAAGAGGGCCTCTGTGTCTTTGAAAGGTTGGTGGTTTTGTTTTTTTCTTTGCACTAAGAAATTTTTGCTTTGTGACCTTAGTAAATATCTAAGGCCTTAACTGTTTTGGATTTAAACAGTATGACTGTTGGCTGTGCATCTTGTAGAAAGGTACAGGTCCGGGACGGACTTTTGTCTGGGGTACTTTTGCTGTCTATCATAGAAGGTTGCCAATGGAACAGGTGTCCACATTGGATGATTTGTTTTGATGACAAACCTTACTGGGTTATTCACAAAAGGGTGAAGAGTTTGGAGAAGGCAGGAGAAGTGAACAATCTGGGACAACATAGCTGAGCTGGAAAGTGAGCTGAATTGGAGAATTTTTCTAAATCAGCTATGTTGTCCTAGATTGTTCACTTCTCCTGCCTTCTCCAAACTCTTCACCCTTTTGTGAATAACCTTGTAAAAGTTTTGATTTCCCCTCACAATCTGCCTCAGTGACAATGGGATTGATTTCCCCAGTGGGGACATACACTCACACTCAAGTTTGTATTGTGTATGAGGCACTGGATCTTCAGTGACTGATGTCTTGTATTGAAAAAGACAAGTTCAATGTAAAGAGCTGACTAGCTTTGCGAAGACTGCTCTCATAAAGCAGGGTACCCCTGTGTGGGCTCTGGATAAAGTCCAAAATGTAAAAAAATAAGCAGGTTTTAATAATTTCTTCTTACTGTGGAACCAAACAGCCAATGTGTTTTGGGGGGGTTCAAGCACACCCCCATTATCAAGGCTTGAATGCCGTATGAATTAACTCATCAGATACAGTAGCGGTTGATCACACAGTGCCAGCTGTTGTCACCACAGGCAAATTTAAATAACTATACAACTTCAGGTAATATCCTGTTAAATCCATTTACTTCACGTTCATACAACATTAACACAATAAAAACTCGACAGAGTGTCTAACCCTCTCTTGCTTTATCCAATACAAAAAAAAAATCTTTTTATATTCATTTTAAGGGAGTCAGCTAGCTTTCTTCTATAGTACATACAGTATGTTAAGGCATTGTAAAGCTGGCCATACACCTATAGATTATCTGCAGATTTTCTGTGGTCAGATGGAAAAAGTGCAACAGATTCCTCCATCTACACTAAATTGTGTGAATGAAGAAATCTCTGTCTGGGCCAAGCTTCAGTATGTTGCTTGTCTGCCCCGCTGGCTGTCAAAATACCTGAACAATGCCTGCATCCAATCAGATTGTTCAGGTATTTTGACAGCCAGCGGGGCAGACAAGCAACATACTGAAGCTTGGCCCAGACAGAGATTTCTTCATTCACACAATTTAGTGTAGATGGAGGAATCTGTTGCACTTTTTTTCCATCTGACCATAGAGAATGTGCAGATAATCTATAGGTGTATGGCCAGTTTTAGTTATTTTAACCTGAAGATTCTGACATGTTTTGCATATTAATTTTTTTGTCATATAGAGTGCCTGTATATAAATGAGCTGGACAATTAAAGCTGAACTGCAGGAAGATCTAAAAACACCAGTTAATTTAAATGTATTTTCAAATGCAGTTAGTGTTACTACCTGATTTTGACTTGGTTTTTAGCCTTGCAATTTCCTGTACAGCAGCACTCATACTGGTAAGTGGAGGGAAACATGAGTGGTCATTCAAATGTGCTGCAATGTATGTAGGCTGATGATGAACAGTCCGAGAGTTGGGACGGCTCACCACTGTGCTACTGCTGTGACTAGATTGTGTTACTTAACTGCAGTAGAAAAGTCAGGTTACCAACCTGGTACTGCTGTCTGGCAGGACCGTGTGTATATCAGGGCTGGATGGAGAGACAGGCAAAACTGTTTGCAGGTAAAATATGTGCAAGGTATATGTCCTTGAATGGTATATTTAGCTGTTTGCATGGAGTTCAGCTTTAAAAGACCACAAAATTAAAAAGGCAATTACTTCTAAGTACAATTAGCGCTGAATATCAGCTAAAACTTCACACAATGTACGTTATCCCCAAATCTAATTATCTGCATGTCGTCATTACAATAAAAATTATAGATGTAAATATAATTTCATTCCGAATGGATATTCGTTGAAAAATGTCAGGCCAAACCAAAACCGAAAATGTTTTTTATTCTAATTGTTTTTCACATTTTTTAAAATATTTTATTCTTTTGTATTAAATATTTGTATTGTTTACTTTACTTTTAGGGGCTTCGGGAGAAATATTATGGGTCTAAACAGACCCCTTATATTTACCTTTTTAAAATAGAAAAAGAGATTGAGGACACAGTCCTCAGGCACACCTAGTCCTCAATACTGAGTGTTCCTGTTCATTCATAACTTGAGAACAGTGTGTTTACTATAACCACAATCATGATTGAGCAGGAGGTGATGTAGATCACTTCCCATTCATTCTTAATTGGGGACACAGTAAGCATACTATGTCCTCAATTATTTAGAAACACTCAGCGATCACTGATCATCACTGAGTGTTTGTACCCGCTCTCCTTCCTGTCAGCTGTCACAGGAGGCTGGGTGGTGCGCTGTGGGAGGAGAGCTCAGCCTCCTGTGACAGCAATTACAGCTGTCTCCGCCCACACCGCCGCTCTCCTGATCTGTGACAGGAGGCTGAGCGGTGCTGGGAGGAGAGACGCCGGCCACTCACAGTGCTCTCTACCCACACTGCTCGGCCGCCTGTGACAGTTTGTCTTCTCCACACTGGGGCACAGAGCAGCGCCCAGCGGGGAGGTGGATGGCACTCGACATTTTGCCAAAAGTGCCATTGTCGGCCGATATGTTTCAGTGGCCAGTCAGCAAAATCTTGCAGGGGTTCCAATTAATATTAAAGACGGCCTGCAAATAGTTGCCAAACACAATTAAGCAGACAAATAATGCGGCCGCTTGTTGGGGGCACAACATTTTGTTTTGCCCCGGGCGACCGTAACTCTGGTTACGCCATGTTAGTTTTCTGTGGCTAACATGGCACAAACTTAGTTTTCTGGAAAGCTCTATACCAGCTGATTTGGCAACGATAATAGTACAATGTTTTTTTTATCCATGTTGTTTGGGAAACATAATAAACCTATGGTGCGTCTTTCTCAAATTTGACTGCAAAAGTGTAAATACACTTTAAGCAAACATACTGCTAAAATTCATTTTGCCAAGGTCTTTTCAGCATAACGTACAGTTACCTTAGCCTTCTGCTTCTATTAAAATAGAGAATGTCTGAGCATTCACCCTACAACTTCTAATTTAACCTTCCCCTTTATTTATTTTATGCAGTGCCTTTGAGCTATTTCAACAAATATTGGACTGTATTCAGAACTTAGAAAAGCACAATAGCTACATCATTATTTTAGAACACAATGTGGAGGACAAAGCAATGGAAACTATTCTGTTTTCACACCCCACCCTAATAGATGAGAAAAAAAAAAAACCCCATAAAAACACAGCAGAAATTATTAAATCTAATAAAAGTATACTATGTAGCAAGGAACCACACATTCCCTGCTGCTCAGACAATAAACAAACATTATTGCAAATAACACTGCATCCTGACAGCCATGAGCACATGGTCCTATAGTGTTCGGATATACAAAAAATGTTTTAAAGTGAACCTGGGCACAGATTATGCTTTTTGTTGTATATTTTGTTAAAGTTTCATAAATCTACATGTAGACAATAGAAAAAGGATTTTCTGATTTGCAGTATTTGGATATTATGATTTTGATTTTAATTACCATTGAATTTATAATACGGGTTTCAGATAGTGTATGTTTATTAAATGTAATATGGGATTTTTTCCTTTTTTTTTTTTTAACAAATGGATGATGCCTTAGGCAGACTGAAGCTACTCTGTGAGTGAGCCCGTCCCCAAGACAAAGGGGGACAGACTGCATTTTCTCTCATTAACATACAATTCTACTAGATCTATAACCCTTTGTTAGGACATGCAGTGTTCTAGTTTACAACTGATAATGAGATCTGCTAGCACAGTACAGACTGGGTTAATTTTGGTAGACAATAACTACCCACCCAGCTCAAGCCCCCCTCTTTGAAATGACAGAGAATACAACTAATTCAGTTTTGGAGTTTTTGAAAAAAAAGAGCAAGTAACCATTTTTATTTTTTTTGAAAAAGCTATGCTATGTGAATGGGAACACGTAACAAATAGAAAAAAACATGTATTATCTCAATTTGGCTTCAAAACTGGAATTACAATTTTACCCCATAAATCAACCTCATTGCTCCAGAACAAGTGTGCAGGGCGAGAGTTTCAACTTGTTGGTGTTATATTTCATCTGGGGCTCTGATTTACAAAATAGCGAAGCAGCAGGGACAATGATAGCAGTGCTAAAGAAAATACAGCAATGACAGTTGCAATAGTTTCTTTTTTTTCTGCACAGGTTTCATTTGAAGGCTTTTTGCTTTTTTTTTTTGTCAGTTTAATAATCAGTTTTCTAACCCCCATGGAGACAGACACATCCAGTGTTTAATTCTTCTTCTTCAGTGTGTATTTACCTTGAGCTGAATGCCAGGTTCAGCCACAGCTCGAAAGGGATTCGCCTGCCAATATGTTTGTTCCATCTGTTTCCACATAACTGCATAGAAGCTGGAGCTGTCCTGGTATCCAAATATAAAACCAGCGTAATCATCGTCTGTTTCTGTGTTCACATGAAATGTTCCTTCAAAGTCTACTCCATTAAATGCAGTGTAACCTAAACACAGAAAAGACCCACACATAGCATGCGTCATGTAGCTTTGATATGCTTGGAAAACAATACGTTTACATTACTAGATTACTGAGGCCATTGTTCAGATGTGAATAATGTTATATATCTGAAGCCGTTATCACAGCTATGTAGAATCGACAGAAAAAGAACACTAGCTGTGAAATACAAAATGATCATAATGTAAATAGAGTGGATTTTTTTCCTGTACTAGATAAAAACAAATGATAAAGCGCACTCCTGTGAGAAGGACACACTTCAGGAATGTGGATAATGTGGAATGGTGTGCACTGCTCCTCAATACAGGGAGAGGAACCCTGTAGATCACAAACACAATATAAAACAAAAAGACTGAGGAGCGCAACTACCTAGGTGCATGCTACTAAACTTGGTAAGCTAACAATAAACACTCATATAGGTATTGGCTTACTTTCCAGTTGGAGGGAAGGAGTGGATAACTAACGGCTGAGGAACTCGGCTCACCATGTGTCTCCACCCCGTCAGGGGTGCACATAATGCTGTGTGTCAGTATTCTACGTCTGGGGGAGAGAGTGACACAGCGGGCAATGTCGGAAGTCGGCTACGCGTTTCGAGGGGTTCCCTCTTTATCAAGCCTCAGGGTAGAAAAGACCCCGGGAAGCCGTCTTTTTAAAAAGTAACAGGGGGGAGGAGTAAACATTCGATTAGCCCGGTGATAGGCTGCTGCTCTAAGATGGGGATGGGCTTATAACCTGGGTTCATCCAGGGGACAAACTGTCAGCATATTATCGGGCAGGATTACGACACCTGTTATAAGGTACTGCCAGATCGAGACAGTTGGGATGTACATACATGTAGGGATAGTATAGCCTTTCTTATTAGCATAACATGTTTCTCGGAGCCTCCCATGAGATATTTTGCCCAAACAGTATGGACATATTATGTGTTAGTTAAAAATTCCTTATTTAAAAAATATATTTTACTTTAATGTCAATATATGATAAAATTACAACACAAACCACAGAGATGTAGGTAAAATTAAAAATGGCCAGGCCGAGCCGCGGCAGCTGTAGAGGGACGAAGTGGATAACTAACGGCTGAGGAACCTGATCTAGAACATAAAGTAAAAGTGCATGAATACAGAATCATCAGGTCAAAATCCAAAAAGTTACTAAGAGACATCGCCGATTACAATTTAAACAGAGTGTTCAGTTGGAAACAGGCCTCTCGACATCACCTAAACCTAACCCAGTTTCTCTTTTTGCCATTCATCCAGTACCCTCTGCCAGGGTGGCAGATCTTGTATGGGATGATACTTCCCTCCAATACCATCTCGGACCAGCCCATGCCCCTGAAGAAAAAGTAGCAATCAGACCTGAGAAGTCATCCAATCCACCTAGCCCTAACTCCCCTTCCCCATCCACTCCCACCCTCCCCAACCTAGTTGTAACCACCACACCGGCTCACACACCACCACCTATCACCCAAAGAGAACCTCCTTTTGAGGAAACCATAGCTCCTTAGAGTCAACAACATGTGTCCCCAAACGTGCCAATCATTCCTTTTTTAGAGCAGGGTCTTCTAAACACCCCAAAAACAAAACGGAAAAAACGAGAAGAGGGATCAGAGGAGGAAAAGGTAGCAAAACTGCCAAAAAAAGAAAAACGAGTACTCGAAGGGGTTTCAACAATAAAAATCTTCAATTTGTCTAAACATAATCTCACTCCTAGTGAAACGTCACTACTTAAGAAAGGTTTAAATTTCGCTCCAGACACTAAACCAGACCCATTCACTATTTTCAAATATCTCAATATATTTATTAGGTTACTGACCCTTCAAAGACACTACTCCAGCACTACCACTAAAATCCCCCCTATTGTTGCACCTCCCGATATTCCTCTTGAACTAGAGGTTGTGGCAGACATCTTTGACGAAAAAGACGGTGATGTTTTGCAAACCCTCTATGAATTAGGGGATCAGAATTCCACCCTGAAATTGGATTTTGAGAACTTTTTGAATCCTGACATCATCCATACCACTTTCAGACCCAAATCAACTTTCTTTCCGATACACTCAAAAGGCCCGTTTATAGACACATTGGTTCTGATGAAGGAGGCATGACCTCGGAAACGCGTCAACCAAGAAGGACAGATAGACGGCTGGCTAAGTCTGCTCTACCTGATCTGTTTATGCTTGTTATTTATCTCCCTTTGTGAGTACATTTTCAACTGTTTCCATTCTTTTATTAAATAGTTTTACACTATGGAGGCGCTTTCTGTGTTTTGTATTTCAATTCTGTGGTTCCCCTAACCTTCGAGAGCAGCACTGAAAGTGTATTACTTTGAAGATCTCCCTCTCATCTTTGACTCATGCTGCTGACTTATGTTGCTGGCGCTCATGTGTTTATTTGTTTTTGTAAATTACAGTACTATATAAACGTACTCATTGCTGATTAGATAGAAGAAATCCAGTTTTAAAATTCTACACTATATTGAAAGACAAGAAAACTCAGTATTGAAGACTTTGGGGTTGATTTCTTAAACGCAAATAGGCTGTTCATGTAAATTAGCTAAACTGAGCTTAACATGTAGCTTACTATACTAGAGGTGCACCGAAATGGAAATTTCAAAACCCGAAATGAAACCGAAATAAAAAAATTGTCAGGCCGAAACCAAAAATGTTTTTTTTTTTAATTTTTCAAATTTTTTTTTATACACTTTTAAATTTTTTTTATATTTATTTTTATTCATGTTTTATTAAATATTTTTATTTTTTACTTTTAGTGGCTACGGGGAAATATTAGGGGACTAAACAGACCCCTGATATTTCCCTTTTAAAATAGAAAAAGAGATTGCGGACCTCAATCTCTTTTTCTGCATCCCCGGTTATAAATGAACAGGAATCCTCTATGCTGAGTGTTCCAGTTCATTTATAACATGAGGACATAGTATGTTTACTATAACCACAATCATGAATGAACATGAAGGGATCACTTTCCATTCATAATTGAGGCTATAGTAACCATACTATGTCCTCAATTATGTTTGCACTCGCTCTCCATCCTGACAGCTGTCACAGGAGGCTGAATGAGCGGTGCAGGGAGGAGAGCTCAGCCTCCCTTGATAGCGCTGGCTGTCTCCGCGCACACACCGCTCTGCCGATCTGTGATAGGCTGAGCAGAGAGATGCCGCCCGCTCACAGTGCTCTCCTTCCGCAGTGCTCGGCCGACTATGACAGTTTCTCTCCTCCCCGCTGGGACACAGAACAGCGCCCAGCGGGAAGGAGAGAAAGAACAGATGCGCCGCTGTATAGGCAGAAAAATTGCACTTTTGGCATTAGGCAAACGTGCCATTTTCGGCCGATATGTTTCGGCGGCTGATATATCGGGGCATCCCTATACTATACAGTTCCTTTTACATGATTTTTTTGAAGTATCTGGTTTGTAGTTTATTGTTCTGGTTTTTAATTTGTTGTATCAGGTGAGACTTGCCAGGCTAAACACAATTTTCCTAGTCTAAATAGGCTTTTCACTCTGCAAGGGAATCTTCCCTTAGCTTAGTGAATGAGGTGAAACTCTGCTGACTACCTTCATCCAATCATCTGCAAGCAAAAGTACTTTTTTTTTTCATTGCACGCATTCGGTTTTCTTTGCAAATTTAAATTTTACCACATTCACCAGGCTTAGGGAAAAAATTCCCTGTGAAAATTCAATTGAAAAGTGAACAAACTATTTGCCTTTAGTAAACCAACCCAATATGTATTGTATATTAGGTTTGATGCACTACTTTATTAACTGTCAATTATTGTTCAGCAATGCGTGCAGCTGCATGCATCATGACAATGTCCTGACCCAGGCAGGAAAGTCATAGTGGAGTCCAATGCAATGGGGTGCAATGACTAACTCATTCCTATTGCCCAATGGCATAACAAGCAGCTTGGGTAGTCATATCATCAGGCATGGTCAATGCTGGAATGCATATGATGGGAGTAGCTTGTCAATGTCATCCATCCAAGCATCCATTCCAGTGGGCTGGATCCTATTCACACTATTTCAGGGCAGTAAAGTACACATTCACTACCTCTGATATCCTTGTTTTGGATTTGAATGTACAGGATTATGGTTTTGCTCCATTTGTCACTATAGCCACTACTTGACAGAGGGTGTACTGCCCTAATGGAGTACTGAGCAAACCTGTGGTGGAACTCTCTGCAAATGCCTGGCTTCAGCTTGTTGCTTATATATGTGGATGTTTTTTTCCTGAAATAAAGGTGATTGCCACAACTGATGATCACAATTTTAGTTCTGTACACTTAGATCTGTTTGCATGTGTGGAGTTATACTGAAATATGGTGTGCAACAGCATTTAAATTTAAGGACCACTTTATGGGTGTGATTTTGCCCTTCTTGAACCTACATAACAATAGCACTTTACTATTCAGATGGTTAGCAAAGACTTTGAGGATTATACCACCCAGTAGAAAGAACTTTTGGTCGTAGAGGTTTTAGTTCCTACAAAAAGTCTGCTATTATTAATAATGTTGCAGCTTGACAACTAATTGGATTGCCAATCAATATCTGCTCCAGTAACAACTGTCAGCAGAATATCGGGGGCAAATCTTCCCAGAGCATTAAGATACACTGTAAAGAATAACATAAAACACATATCTTAATTAAAAGTCAAAAAAACAAAAAACTATTTCTTACCAACAGCCAGTCCGGGATCACTATTCATTGTTTGGACAATTTCCATTCCCTGAGAAAGACAAAGGTTTTATTTTTAATGATTTTGCTGGAGCAAGCATCAGGCTTGGCTAACTCTTCAAAGCCTGCCCAAAGTGACATCACTGCTGCTTTTACCAGACAGGTCAGACAATATCGAAAAATCAATATTATTCCAAGGAAAGATCATTTATATTATTGCCACAACCAAGTTATATTACTATTAAATGTTATAATGAGCTGCAAATGTCTAATTTGAGCAAAACAGAATACGGCAGTTACAAATTAACTAAATATATGTTAACTAAATGAGTTACCTAAATTTAAATATATATGCCTTTTTTTATTATTTACTTTTAAATCCCACAAATGTTTTAGAGATCAAATAATTTTAAGTAAACACTTCTATGAAAACTACACAGTAGAATTATCAAACATGTCAAAGAGCAAGAGCTTGCAAATTCATAGTTTCACACTTGCCTATTAGCAGGTGACAGGCTGGTTGTTGCATTACAAAAAGAAAAGTGAGTTTTGAGAGACAAGTGAATGACAGGAACCATCTACTTTGCAGTTTTTCCCTGGCCTCAGGACCTTTCATGTTCCTCTGATCTTTAAAAACTGATAAACCCAGAACTGCAGGTTGGTTTGCCTTAAGTTTACAGTTCACTTCAAGCGTTCATGGTAGGCAATAGACTGGTCATGTCTGATCTAGAGTCACTCTAATATCATGCCAAATATTCCATTATATGATAATGTAGTAGGTATATTACCAAAAGCCCCAAAAACCTATAAACATCACTATAAATAAGAATCAAATGGTAGCCATGTTTAGTGGTGTACTTACACAGGTTGCACAGGTAGTTAAAGTACCTGTAACTTGAATTAGACATGTGCGATTTTTTTTTTGTTCCGATTTGAGATTAGTACAAATTTCTGCATATTTGGATTCATTCAAACCTCTGAATGACAGAAATAACAAATCCAAATGTTTTTGATAATGCCAGGCTGCTCGGATCAAGTAAGTGATTTTTTTTGGGGGCGGGGGGCTTGGCGTTGGGGGTTCCCCTTCCCCTACCAGACCTAAAGGGTCTGGTATGAATTGCCGGAGGGAACCACACACTTTTTTTTTTTTTATTATGGTTTCTGTGGACTGTCAAAAGTTAAAAGGAAAACTGCAAACATTTATGTCACTTTTCTGCAACATAATTATGGTTTTTAACTCATCCGAAACTAACAAAAATTTCAGATTTATCCGAATGCCGAAGCAAATTGACTTTAAGACCCGAGTCCCGAAAAGCAAAATAAGGAAACATCCGAAACAAAACGAACCTAAACAAATTTTTTGCAGGCGTACAAGTCTAACTTGTATCTTACTTTGTTACTGTAAAATATATACATACACATTGATCAGCCAATAACATTATGACCACCCGCCTAATATTGAGTAGGTTCCCCTTCTGCTGCCAAAACAGCCCTGACTTATTGAGGCATGAACTCCACTAGACCTCTGAAGGTATGCTGTGGTTTCTGGCACCAAGTTGTCAGTAGCAGATCTGTTAGCTCCTGTAAGTTACGAGGTGTGTCCTCCATGCATTGAACTTGTCTCTCCAGCACATCCCACAGGTGTATGATTTGGATTGAGATCTGGAGGATTTGGAGGCCAAGTCAACACCTCGAACTTGTTGTTGTGTTCCTTAAACCATTCTTGAATCATTTTTGCAATGTGGCAGGGCACATTATCCTGCTGATAATGCAAATTATAGAGAATTTTCTACTGCATACCTCATTTAATACAATCCAGTTTGGATCAATTTGTGCATCTCCCTCTGGGTCCAAAACAACTGTCTGGAAAGCTCTGAAGTCTGTTAGAGTAATTTCAGCATTATCTGGACAAGCATCAACTTTATCGACCACCATGTCTTTGTCGTAATCACCTTCACAAGCATCACCTATACCATTGCCTATAAAACATACCCAAAAAAATAAAAATCATATTTGCTCATGGTTTCCAAACTGTATAAATAATGAACTCCTTGCTCAGTTCAATACAAACAAAATCTTCAATATAAAATTACTAAGGTAGACACATATTGATTACCATCAGAATCTGCTTGGTCTGGATTTGGTACTTTTCTGCAATTATCTGGCCCTGGTGGTGCAGTATCTGGGATGCCATCATTATCATCATCGTCATCACATTCATCTCCTAAACCATCCTTATCTGTGTCTAGCTGTGAACTATTAATATCTGATGGACAATTGTCACGGGAATCTTGGTGCCCATCACCATCTCTGTTAATAAACATAAGAACAAAAAAGTGAAGAAATCAGGTTGCTTGTTTTTTTTTTTTATGCAACTCTTATTTTGTTTCCAGATTGTCAACACAACGATCTAACAAGTGTAGCCCCTATATAGATGTATATATGTGCTACTGCAGTGATCGATGTTTCTGCCTGTAAACAGTTAACTGCCTCTGTGTGTCCTGTGAGGCGGAGACTTGTGGGAATTGCAGTGCAGAGCAGAGACTGTGATGTTGCAATAGGGATTATTGAGACTGCAAATCCCAGGAGGCTGTGTTTCAGAGTGGAAGGGGACTCTGGGCCGTGGCTGCTGAGCGCGCTCAGTCTGGCATTTCCCAGTGAGGAGGACAGATTTGTGTGATCCTGTTGGGGACTGAGACTGAGTAACAGAGCTGTGTGGCTGCTGCTGACACAGAGGGGCACACAGGCTCTGTGCAAGCTGTTAGAGGAGAGAGTTTATTTGGAGTGCAGTGCCTGGAGGCATCCGATTGAGTGCTCCAGCAGGACCCAGTGACGCGGTTGCAGTGGGGATATTGTGGCCTGGTCGTGCGGCCCATCCAGCCCTATGAGTGATCCAGCAGGCCCAGCTGAGTAAGGGGAGCCAGAGGGTGGTGACCGAGACAGCTACCCAGTACCCTGGATGAGCAGAGACCTTACTCAAGAGACCCCCAGATGACTTCACCGTCTTCAAAGGAGTTGGCTTGAAAGAAAGGGGACACCCGTCTCTCGCTGATGGACATCATCTCTGCTATCTGACCTCTGACCTGGGGAGTGGTGAGAGGCCTTTGGCCATTGTGATACATTAACATTCATACCTGCAATACAGTACGGGCCCCAACGTTGGCGGAGACTGTTTGAGAGTGAGGCATTAATGTTATATGCACAGATATATACCTATACATTCAGTTGGAGGACAATTGCTAAAGTTATTTGAAAAGAACATGTCCCAGACTATACAGTAGATAGCTGCAGCACTGAGTGTCAGAGTGCCTTTGCCTATTACTGATTTAAAATAATCCAGGAAGTCACAAAGGATCCTGACCTGCAGATCTCTGCTTAATCATAGGCCAATGGTCATGCCTATGCCATCATTGCAAAATGGCCTAAACAACTGTTAACCAAGATGAACCAAATTCTTCCATTATCCCCATTGGCGAACGTACACCTGGAGGGAGGAGGGGATACTTTGGGTAAGTGGGATAGACAAAAAGGATAACTGTACTTTCACTGAAACGGCACCTTTCATTTAGAGAATAGCTTATAGTGTCTGCCAGTCTACCTCTTCTAGTTCATTGACATGCATCTCTATTTTACCAATAGAGTTTAGGGGATTTCAAAGCACCTTTGTTATCAAAGCAGCTTGTTCAACTACTAGTATACTAAATATTTTAAGTGTCATGCAATTATATTTTTTTATAGTGGTTGAACTTGAAGCATATTTGTTTTGTTTCTTTCAACCTATATGTTACTATGTAGTTTCCGAGAGGGAAAATGGTCAGTGTGTGCATCCTCATATGCACTTTATTTTCATTTGCAAGCAGTGTAAATAGCTGGTATATAAATGTGTTTTTAATTGTGTATAAGCTTTCCTAATAAATCAGCTGGAATTTGCATCATGCATGCCACTGTCTGCACTTTCCCACCTGGTATCCCTCGATCAGCTGATCAAAGGAGCCAGTTGGAAAATTCTTGGCTGGAAGGAACTAGCAGCCAACCAGCCAGTGGCCGCTGTCGGAATACAATGCCTACAGCAGGGAATTTGTCCATCAATGCTTGTAAAGGTGGCCATACACTGTACAACCATCGCAAGACCTTAGTCTTGCGATGGTTGTAAAGGGATTAAAAAAACTTACGATCTGCCCATCTTGGACGGGCAGATTGCACTCTCGATCATCGCAAGCCACGCCCCCTGAGGGGCGGGCTTGCGATGACTGTAATGAGGGGCGGGCTTACGCTGACTGCAAACGGGCAGGCCACCAACTCGCCGAGAATCGTACGATTCACGGCGGGTTTTCAAACATGCTGGTTCGATGGAAGACGTGCGACCGTACAGTAGAAACGGTCGCATGCCTTCCATACACTGCTCGTACGATCGCGGGATTTCCCGCGATTCTCGTATGAGAATCGTGCAGTGTATGGGCACCTTAAGAGTTGATGGAGGAATCTGTTCAGCCCGTTGGTTGAACAAAACAGTATATACCCAGACTTAACATACTTTCCTTTTTTATCTTTATTATATAACTTAAGAGATGCATCTGTGGGACTGGACACCATAGGGAAATTCCACTACTTGAAAGGTAGAGTTATGTTTACCTGAACAAATACATATATGTTTTTCTTACCGATCTTGATTGGTATCACACTGATCTCCCACTAAGTCATTGTCGGCATCTGCCTGAGAATGACAGAAAATAAGATAGCAACATGTTCATTCTGGCAGCACACAAAAAATTGTACTTGACAAATAAGGATGAGGTTTGCGTTTGCCGCTACCATAGATAACGAGGTGAATCCTGCGGGTTCAGGATTCGGAAGTCCCGGCAAGTTAATGTGCAGATTCACTTGGGGGAATATTTTTAAACCAGATTGCACTGCATGGCCTTTAAACTATAGCCAGCAGGCGTAGAAGGGTCAGTGAGGGTCTTTTGGTTAAGCCAGCCCCATCACTAAAAAAGGGGGGGGGGGGGGCACAGGCGGCCAATTTTCCGGTCACAGAGCAGCCATATTCTCAGTGAATTGGAAGCTGTTGTAGGGACTGCATAGGGTAACTGACAAAATGCATAGGCAATGATTAGTGTATTTAGGAAACTATACTTTAATACTTGTTAGCTTTTTCAGCAATCGGCCTTTTTGCTGACTTTTTTTGTTCATCTTATTGTGGGCTTTTTATGTCATACATATGATTTTGTGGTTAATTTAAGGTGTGTGGTCACATTTAGCTGCTGTCCTGTCCTTAACAATTTTTTGTTTTATTGCTGCAAGACTTTTTTTGCTGCAAGGGTGGTACTTTGCGGTTTTTATTAATTTGGGGGGCATATTGGTTTTTATTTTATGTTAATAGGACCTTTTATTTGAGGTACACCACTTCAGGACCAGCATGTTACACTCCCGTCTGGTGCGGTTCAGTTTTCAGTCCTACAATAGTGTGACAATTACTCTGTTATGCAACACTGTACCCAAATTAAATTTCAATCTTTTTTTTTAGACAAATAGAACTTTCTTTTGGTGATATTTAATAATACCAAACTTTTTTCTATTTTGTAGTATATAACGGAAAAGACTGAAACATTTTGAAAAAAACTGTTTCTCTTTGTGTTTTATAAAACATATCAAATCATTTATCTTCATAAATTGAGGCCAAAATGTATTCAGGCAGTGGTACTGGATGACACTGTTACTGGCTATACAGGCACTTGTTCCAAATGGCATTGAATGGCCTGGTGCTGGCTGGTGATCAGAAAGTAGCTCAATCTCTTTCCTCTCACAATGGACTGCTAATTGCAGCCATTTCTCACATTTTGTGATTGCTGTGATTGGTCACAGTGATCATGTGGTTTAGCTCAGGCAGGCAGCACAGAGAGTGCAAGATATTCCAGTGAAATTGGTAATGGTTTAGCAATTCTAGTAAATGAGCTGCAATTATTATTTTTTTAATACCTTGGAGAGATCCTGTCCCCAGATTGTTCATTTGTAAAAACAATTTTATAACAAAATCGTATGCATGTGTACTTAAATTGATTGTAAACTCCCTTGAAAAAATTATCTTTTGCTGGGTGCTGCCATCTTGGATGTGATGGCAATGGTAGATGTGATTGACCCCAGCAGGACAGTATTGCTCAAACAAGGTGTGCTTTGAATTAAGAGACATTCAGTCATGCACATAGTGAGAGTACAGCTGCAATGGTCACACAATGCAGCCTTCCTAAGCTACATACAGTACTGCAGTGGCAAATTTCTGCCCTTTACTGCTGATGTTTCTCATGTGTGTGCGTACTTCTATTGTTATTGTGAGACATGCAGAACCAGTGATGAAGCAGGTGGAGGAGAGAAACAGCGGCTCGATCCTTCACAGACAGGAATTTAGAATTCCCAGAAATGTTGAATTCCTATTAAACTTGCAATGTTTACAACTTAAACAGGAGAGAACATTCATGTTGTAATTATACTTTATTGATGTCTTTAAAGTTTTGCCAAGCCATTAAAGCCTACCTGGTCTGGGTTGCGAATAGTGGGACAGCTGTCGCATACATCACCAACACCATCACCATCTGTGTCCTTCTGGTCTGCATTTGGGACAGTTTTGCAGTTATCCATGGCATTCCTAATTTCTGAAAAATTGTGCATATGATCAACAATGTTTTTTATTATCACAACTGTATAAATATTGAAATATAGAATAGGAGTAATCTCATTAAGGGTTACATTTTTTTACTAGAATTGTTTACTTCTACCATAAAAACTGCAGTGTTTTTTTTTTCTTAAACCAATAAGTATGATCAGTGGCTTTCTTAATTTCAACACACTACTTTGAAGTTTTTTATGTTGTGACATGGTCACCATCTCACATTTCCTACAAAGGTGCCAAAATAGCTTTTTCGATGCCTGAGGTGTAACTGCACCCCTATGTCTTATACTCACCTGTCTCCTATCCAGCAAGATATCACTGACTAAATCTTGCCAGGCCCGTGCATGTGCTCTGCACTTCCATTCATTCATATATAGACATTAAGTTTTATGGGGTTTCCAAGTAGGAGCCTGTACTCAGAAGCTCCTTAGGAATTAATGGAGAGTGCCAGGCAAATGTGTGGGCCCAGCCTGGAAAATTTGGACAAGTGGCTGCGTAATCTAGTCAGTGATGTTTCAGTATAAGAGTGGGAAGAAGGTACAGTTACACTTGCCTAGACTGGATGTACTAACCCTATACAAACTCAACATTGGACTTTTGTTCTTTAAATGAGAGAGGAAATCAGTAATAGATTTAGATACTAAAAGGACTTGTATAATTTGATGTCATAATGTCTTCTTTTGAAGCAACTCTGTGGGCAAACAAAAATGCTGTCAGGAATGCAGTGCCTGCACATACCTGGAACATCCTCTAAAGCCCTGCCATTATAACCATTGTGATGGGCAAAGCTATGACACTTCCTGGTAGGTTTGGAGCTTGCCCAACCCTTCCCACCTCCCACACTTTCTTCTTGGCGTTTTAGGCAGTCCACAGTGATAGCCAATAGGATTGTGTGGTGGGCAGGACACAGAAGCAAGCTCTGACACTGCTCAGGATTTGGTATAGCAGCAGGGCATAGATGCTACTGTAGTTATGTCCAGGCACCTCTAGATACCTTCACTTTATTTTGTCATATTCTATATCATTTTTGTGATCTCTATTTTAAATATTATCTGTAAACAATTCTTTTGGCTACATTTCTATACCTGGTCTAGAGGATGATTCTTTGGCCATATAATTTATATCATTCTTCTCTACCATTATACTTTATTGTGTGCTTCATGTGTTGTTAAAGGTTTAAATAGAGATCTACAGTAAATAACATTTCTCATGAAAGTGTATACTTAAAATATGATAAATTCAAAGTAATCACTAAAGAAAACGTGTAACTGGAAAAACCCAACTGTAAAAACCATATAAACATACTGTCTCCATCCATGTCATCATCACAGATATCTCCTTTTCCATCTCGGTCAGTGTCCTTCTGGTCATCATTTTTTACATTACGACAGTTATCACAAGCATCACCAAAATTATCCTGATCTGCATTTTTCTGATCCACATTGGGAACAAAGACGCAGTTATCCTAAACAAATAGATAGTGATTTAAAAAAATGTTAGTCAATAAAAAATAGCAAATTTATATTTAAAATCCAATACAACTTTATATGTTATCAAGCTTTTCATATACAAATGTTTATGAAAGCATTGAACAGCTTAACTTTTGCTATTTTCACTTACATGACAATCCCTCCAACATCCAGTAACACCAACAGTGTTAGGCATTGGTCATGTGAATTCTGCAGAAGAGGCTTGAGATATTGGCATTTAGGTAGAGTAGGCCAATCTCTGTATTTGTCTGAATAATGACCCACCTATTCAACAGATGCCACTTACCAATGTCTTTTGATCAAGTGATGTGTTTGAGCTTGCCTTGATTCTGGGGAATATTGCAGAAAGTAACTTTTTCAAAACTTTCATAAAATAAAACACATAACCTTGCTGAAATATATTAAAATTACATTGTATTTTAAGTGTAGGTCCACTTTAACCAACAATAAAACAGCTCAGTCTGACACTGATCTGATCCATTATTTTACTAGACTTAATGGAACAATGCATCAGAATAAGGGAAAAATAATACAAAAACATGCACAAGATTTAATTTCCTCTTTCAACTTTGGTAATCATCTTTTAGAAAACCAACTTTCGAACCTGAATATTTGGTATCCCATCTCCATCAGCATCATCATCACATGCATCTCCAATTCCATCCCTGTCAGCATCTTCCTGGCCAGAATTAGGCACAGTTACACAGTTGTCCTATAAGCAAGAACATTCAGTCCATTAAAAATATCATTATACGCCAAACATTAATACTGTGTTGTACCTAAAACCAACTGACCTATTTAGGGGCTACGGGAGCAAGCAAAACAAGAGCAACAACAGAATATAGCATGGATTAAAAAAATGTTGGTAATAAATCTAAAATTTGGTGGTAAATATGTAAAAACGATGCTAGTAAAAGTTAGCAATCTTTTAAACAAGCCTGAAGCCTTTCAGGCAATGTGGAATTGCTGATCATAGACAAATATTACAATACACTGGACAGAAATGTTACTCTATAAAAGTCATAGTGGATAATGTACGTGGCATGCATTTAGAAAGGATGGGTAAAATATTTGTATGTTGATAAACTCTTGTCACAACTCTTCTTGAATATTTAGTCTTAAATTATTTATAATTCTGCCAGCTTGCTTATTAAAATGTTCTTTTTGCCTCCCTGTTTAGCTTATTTCCTTTTTTTTTTGGTGCCTGACTCTTTCTAGTGAGTCAGTGGGGGGTTAAGGGTCACTTAAGTGTTTTTATGTCCCGTTGACTTCCACACCCCAAATGTTTACTTCCAGCCCCTTAGGGTGCATACCAACATCTCAGAGCAGAGTAGTTAAAGTGATGCTAAAGTCAAAAGGTTTTTAGGCTATTTCAAATGCTTACTAAATCACTTACCATGGATGCTGCTTCTTGACGTAAAAAAAAAAAAAAAGTAATTTCCTGTAGTTCGCTGGTGCCCTTTGCACTGGACCTGATATTATGCTTTATGGTGGCTCCTTTCCCTTGCAGCGCCCTCTGGAGCTACCCTTGTGTGCCGTTCACAAACACAGCAAGGCAGGCCAGTTTTGCATACACCACAGCAGAAACTAGTGTGCATCAAAAGCACCTCACAGTCAGTGAAAGCTAGTCATTCCATTAACCTCTCCAAAAAATACTACAATGAGAGGTGGGTCTAAAATGAGAGGCGCTACGTGTGGCAGTAATAGGGGCGAGCAGGTCATGCAGGACCTAGCAGTGGCAGGGTTGCACAAACTGGAGATACAAAATGTATGCTTTTTTCCCCCATAGTAGCTGACAAATACAGTCACGGCACTTCCAGCAGAAAGTTGGCTGGCTGACCAAACTTTGTGCACACCACATCTTCCACTTCATCCTCCTAGTACCAGAGCATCCTGTGTGGCTGGATAGACTGCACTGAATGCAGCTAGAGGAAGGGGAATATTTTATATTTTCCATGGGCCATCAGAAACCTCTGTCAACTGCTTCCAACCCTGGGAAGCAGAGGCAGCAGGAAGCTGAGGAGTGAGTAGAGTGAGAGGAGGACACTTGGAAGACTGCAGGGGAGATTTTTTTTTACCGTTCCCAAACCCTAGGCATTATACATAGGTGGGGTGAATAGTTGGAGGACAACGTTGTACCCAGTGATGAAGAGGACTTCAGATCTTCGGATATTGTGCATTTGTAGGATATATAGGGTCCTTCATGCTGCAATACCTATGCAAAGACCCACACATTTAGGTGATCAAGGAGAGGGACCTCTGTTGGTTGTCCACCCATTGGATCCCCGGTAAAATACCAAAGTGTCAGATATCCTGCCACTATCCCAGAGTGATAAAAAAACATGCTACTTTGAAGAAGTGTTTCAACAATGCTTCCTTGCCACTTTTCCTATTGGGGGCAGGGATCTCTGCTGACCAATGTTCTTTGCTGCTGACATTCTCTCAAGTATCGTCAAGAGCAGCAACCTCAACGTGGCTCTGCATATATTTTTCAAGGCACAGTGGCCAGTCCCAACTACTGATGCCACTCATCAGGTGTGGATTACAGAAGACTTTGAGACACAAACTATAGATACCACAAAATACATTTTTGTTTGTGTTGCCGTTTACAGTGCTATTCAATTTCTGCTAGTATTATCACTTTCTGGGACTTCCTCTACATCTTCTATTTTACCCTGTGGAAACATTTAGTGCCTTTGCTTCTGCATTTGAGGCCTATTCAATTAAAGAAGAATTCCAGGAATTTTTTAAATGAACCCTTGCAGTGGGGCTACTCCTGCGCTGCAAGGGTTAAAGTAGTATTAAGGTCTGGGCGCTTTTTACCTTAATGCATTCTCTGCATTAGACCAGGTTGCTGTGGGAGGATACTGATGGCATAGAAGCCATAGGCTCCTTCCTTCTGCCATCAATCAAAGAGGGAAGGTTCTATGGGTGCACACAGCTGCTGCAGGCACGAGCGTGCACGGGTGCCTCCATTAGAATGATGGTGGCACCCGTGCAGGGGGTGGGGGGGGGAAGAGCATGGCAGGGACCCACTAGAAAACGAGGAATGAAGAACTTTTAAAGAAAAAAAAAAAAGCAACAGTCTCCAGCAAAGGAGGGTCTCCTTCAAGGAGATTTTTTTTTTAAATAGTTTTTAATATAACTTTAAGTGCTCATTTTTGTCTGGGTGCTAAAATAACAAAGATATACTCACCCAAAGCTCTAAACCAGCCAGCTGACAAAGTACTCCCTCCAGCCTCCCTGCAACATTGGAATCTTTCTCAGCGTCCTCACATCTGTACACTGTGTATAGACGTTGACAGTCTAAAAAGAATTTAGCTTGGAGCTTCCTCTGACTATAACTTTGTTTTATTTTTAACCTAGACATGGACAAGCACTTAACCTTTGCAGTGCAGGGGTAGCCCCACTGCAAGGTTTAATAAAAACATTTCCTGGAGCTCTTCTTTAAATGGTGTTGTCCTCGTACTGGACATTTTTTAGGAGGAGCTGTGTCTCAGCTGCAAAGCCCTTCTCTTTATTGCAGGAAAACTTCTGCCTTTTAGGGCCTATTCAGGCTAAAATGCCTCATTCTGCTCCTTTTATTTTGACGGCCTTTTTTAAATAAGGTTTTATTCTATAAATAAACCAGCAAAAAAGAAAACATATTACCAATACCAGCGGTTATAATAGTTTAGTTTTTTTTACCACTGGACCTGATTTTTGGGTGATGAGTAAACCGTGTGAAACAAATAAAAAGGTGGTCAAATGTGGATGTCTGCCATGAGGAAGAGTGTCCCAGAGAGCCTGTCATGTGGAGGGAGCCTGTTCTGAAAAGAGACGCACTGTTTTGGAGAATAGATACTACTTAAATGATCCCTTGAGAGAAAGAAGTACTACCCTTAGAAAGAGATCATGTGACCTGTAATATAATTTTCAAGGGACTGGATCCCTGTAGTCAGTCCAGTCTCAACACAGAACAGCATGCATCCTATCTCAGGTGGGAAGGTCATTAAAGGCGAACTATGGGGTTAAGGCTTTTCCCCATAGTTCTCCTTAGGGTAACGGGAGGACACAAACTAGCGTCCTCCCGTCACCCTAGACTCAGTATACCGCGAGCTGTAGCTCGCAGTATACTGAGACGCCGCAGCTTAAGCGGATCCCGACAATTATGCCGGGATCCGCCCAGCTGCGTGACTCACAGCTGGCTCTGCCTATCTAGAGGCAGAGCCAGCTGTACCAGCCCCATCCGTTCCGCCAGTCAGCGCTGGCGGATCGGAGCGGGGAGGGGGAAATCCAGCCCCTCCCCTGTCACGGCAGAGAGCCGTGACAGGATCGAGAGGTGAGCGAACGCCGGTATGTGTTCGCTCACCTCCCGATCTACTGAGCCGACCTGTGACAGTCTCATTGTCACAGGTCGGCTAGAACTATGAGGTGAGTGAAAAGCACTCACCTCATAGTTCTCCTTTTAAACTGTACTACTACTACCACTATACTACTAACGAACAAGAGTTGGCTACCCTGTCACAACCACATAAAGTCAGGTACCATTGAAACTCCCTAGACTAATATGAGGGTAGTTATGTTTTTGTCTCTTTCTTACCTTTTTACATCTCAAGTCAGAACATCTTAACTTTTCATCTGGGAATCCATCAATGTCTGTGTCCTTGGCACACATCAGTCCATTTCCTGCCCATCCAACTTTACACTGTAAAAATTATAAATGTACTGCATATGATTTAACACAATAAAGAGCAAACAATATAGTTATACTATCTTTAATGTTTAATAGAATGCACACACTCTAATGTGAACAAAAAGGGGCCTATTTGGCAGAATGGCAAACACATGCATATTATTGACACACTCTGCACTTCATTATTTTGGTCTAATTGACTGTTGTACGTCACACTTCACATTTGTAAAGCAGTGAACACTGGACTGGCATTCCTAACAAAACAGTGAATTGAATTTCAATCTTGCAAATCTCAAGTAGCTTATTTATTGCAACGTAAAAGGATTCTTGCAAAAGATCATGTAACAATTAATTTTTTTTTAAATGTTTTTTTTAAAGCTCTGCACGAACTGTTCTGTATAACAGGGGTGCCCATTAGGTAGATCGTGATCTACCAGTAGCTCTCAAAGCTGATGCTGGTAGATCACGAAGGGTGTGAATGGTGGCCCCTTTATTCCATTTTGGTATATTTATTTAGCTATGCAAACATGATTACCTATTAGCCTGAGTCTGATGAGCCAAGCTCCCTGTCACCTTTCTGGTGGATACTGGTAGTTGAAGTGCTATGTATTGCATCAAAGAATATTAGTTTACACAGCCTGTTGCAAAATACAGCAAGGTGAGCCAAGAGAGAGAGCAAAGACAGCCAGGAGAGAGAGGACAGGAAAGACAGCCAGGAGAGAGAGGCCTGGAAAGACAGCCAGGAGAGAGAGGCCTGGAAAGACAGCCAGGAGAGAGAGGACAGGAAAGACAGCCAGGAGAGAGAGGACAGGAAAGACAGCCAGGAGAGAGAGGAAAGACAGCCAGGAGGATGAGCAAGGAGAGACAGCCAGGAGAGAGTGAGAGACAGCCAGGAGAGTGAGGAGAGACAGCCAGGAGAGAGAGAGAGAGAGCGAGGGTTTTTTTTTCGTTGGTAGATCTCATGTAGCTCGTCATTTTGAAAAGTAGATCTTAACACAAAAATTGTGGGCACCCCTGCTGTATAATAATAGATAGTAAGATTTCCATGCCTGGATAACAAATGGTCTCTTGAAATTACATTCACATGCAAAATCAAATAGAACAATTGAAGAGTATTAAGCTTTCAAATGCAATACTGGGGAACAATAGGGAAAGAAGGCTAGGGGGGTACCGCTTCAGTATTAGTAAAAAATCAGTAAAAAAAATCAATAGGTTTACTATATTTACCAAGTCAATCTCATTATAAAAATGGCATTTAAAAATCTTTTTAAACAACAGAGCCCACAATCAAAAAAACACAATTAAACAGTTGAACATCAGTAGTCATTCAAATCGAGATAGGCTGTATCTCATTAAAACCCATAGAAATACATATATCTTTCTAGGAATGAATGTATTAAATCCTCAAGGAACCAAAATAGCTGTTTAAAGTCCTCTTAAAGCCCACTCCTAACAGGGTCATAAAAAGTATTGTTTTCTTTAGATTCCCGATAAAAGAACTTTCCAGTCAAATGACAATGGCCAATCCAAATTAAGAAAATGAATACAGCACACATTTTTTTTATTAGGGTAGTAGGAGAATTCATAAATGACCATCAAAGGTATGCCCAATATGTTTGGAGAGTATCTCGTTTCTACTGTGAGTTTTAGTTCTTTCTATAGATGATCTATTGGATTCATATCAGGATTCATAGCAAGCCCTTTCAGAACAATCCAATGTTTGCTTTCCAAGGCTTCTATTCTTGGTTTCTCTTTGACATATTAGTCTGCTGGAAGAGCAATGACCTGAAACTGAGACAGAGCTTTCCATCACTGTACATTTTGCTTTTCTCCAAAATGCCTTTATAATCTTCTCAATTTCATTTCATTCAAGACAGCTGGTGCCAGAGACAGCAAAGGACCCCAATAACATTATGGAGCCTCCATTATGTTTCAGAGTTGGGATGGTGCTCTCTTTGTTTTTTTCTTTTGTGAACATAAATTAATGTGACTTCACAAAAAGTTTGTTTCATCTTCAAACAACACTAACCCAGCAGGTCTGTGGTTTGTCATATGCACTTTAGCAAACAGTCTGCTTTTTTTTTGTGGCCGTCTTTCAGAAGTTGGGTCCTTGTGGGTTTTCTACCATGGAGGCCACCTTTAGTAGAAAGCTATGGATATTGTGAATCATTGTTGTACTATGAGCGGGGACATCATCCAGCATCTATTTTAACCCAATATTCAGATTATCCTCATATTTTATTCTAGTGTCCATTTTCCTCTTACAGCCACATCCAGGGAGTTTGTATAGGTTTCCAATTACTTTAAAATTCTTAAGTTTTTACCATGCTTGTCTATCACCTTCTTTCTTTCCTTCTCAGATAACACAATGGCATCAGTGCATATTTTTCTCCACTCAAACAGGTTGAGTGACTAATTATAAGACTGAATGAACCTGTGGTGCTATTTTAAGTGAATAGTCTGCTTCGAAGATCACTAAAAATAATACAGGGAATTTATCAACACTGGAGCAGACAAAATTTGGAACAGCTGTGCATGGCAACCAATCAGCTTCTCGCTTTCATTTTCAAAGCCCAAATGAACAAACTGAAGAGATAAGCTGATTGGTTACTATGGGTGCTTGCTCCAGATTGTGTCTCCTCCAATTTTGATATATTTCACCCATTGAATCCCTGGCAATTTGAGGTGAATGGCGATGGTGAAAGAAAAATGTCCCCACTGTGCAGATGGATTGATGTGCCCAAGCCTGCTTGCATATTTCCAATTGTATTTTTTAAATCACTCCCTTTAAACCCACTGCAGAACCAACACGGTACGTAAACAGTAACACACATGTACTTTTTGATTGATTGATGCACACTGCAACCACATGCTTCACTGATCACCATTGCATACATGCACCTCTTTACTAACTGCCACAAACCCATGCACTTCATTGATCATAACTAAACACATTCACTTCCCCACTGATCACCATCAATTAACAGCATACCACGTACCACAAACTGATGTACGTTGTGCTATACATTACATTTCTCAGACTTCTGAACCCTGTTCACTGCACTGCACTATATTCATAGCACTAGGAATTTTTGGGGAATTCAGTATATCATCTTGTTCAACAAATGGGCCTCTTCTAGATTGAGTGTCGCAGTTCAGGGGGATTACAGGACACTGATAACGCAAAGCCAGGTTCTACTTGCATTTAAAAATACATGTAATTCTTTTTAATTAAGTAGATAGCGAAGTGCTAAATACTAATATCCACCTGGAATTCAGATTTAAGTGTCCTTAGAGGACTCAAAATTCCTTTATGAATTTGATGATCCCTAACTCCTAACACAGTTGTTGGAACAACTTAAATATATAGATTTGAAGTGAAGTACATTCAAGCTGATGTTTTGCCAGATATAAGCCTGAAGGGTTGCAGCACCCTTTAAGATGACCTGGGGAGTAGCAAAAGTAATATGTTCCTTGCCAGCAAATATTGAATTGTTCTTTTTGTTTTCCAGTAGCAATCTGTCAAGCATCACGAAACAGGAGTGAGATTGCATGCCCAGATATCCATTTTTTTTTTTTACAAAGCACATTCCTCAACTCTGTAATCCCCAGGACTGGAATCAAGAAACAGGCTACCCATACCATGTCTCTCTTGCATCACCTCAGCTCTTGGCACACCCACCCTTCCAGTCATTTACATTGCACAGGAAGACCCCCTGTGAAAAGTACAGAGATCTTTTCAAATGTTTAGGCTACCACACACTTCCCTCAGCCTGGAATGAACAATTGATGGCAAAAGCTTCGCTGCACTGCAATGGCATCAGCAACACTTCAGAAATATAATACAAAATTAATTTCTAAAACTCATTATCCTTGACCGTTTCCTTTTTTTAAATCAGGTTCAGGTTTTAGTTTTTTTTAGCTCATAATATAATGCCCATATATGGCTACTTTAATGGGACGATTATTAATGCTTATTGATTAAATGGGCAGTTTTTTTGCCCTCGTTAATCATGCAATTTCTTCTCAATAACAGAAAACAAATTTCTTACCACACAGGCTATGGTTCCATCACTGTCCATAATACAATCTGCATTTTCATGACACTTGCTAATCTCTCCATTTGGGCACCTTCTTTCTGTTTTACAGGCGTAATTCTGATTGCCTCCTGACCCTGTCTTGCAGGCTGTACATTTGTATGAACCCTAGGAAAAGTATGAAAAATACAACAATAACTGTGATTTCCAGAATTTAGGATGATGACATTAGTACAGATCACAGATTTATCTTACCATTTTTTTTCCACCTGATTTCATCAGCTTTCTACTATTCTGTATTTCTATCTCATTGGAAGCCAGACCTCTGAGACTTCCCTTCACTCTGTGGAGTCTCATGCTCTACATCCTCCATCCTCATGCTCTGTGAACGGATTACTTGTTCTTCTCCAGTAAAAGGGCAAGATCACATGCATCAGTTGCTTATGTTCTTTGTTTTCTTTTTAGCAATGTGGACTATTTCTTCTACAACCCCAAGCTCTGTATTATGTGGTCCATGCCCCATATGTGGCCAACATATCACTTACAACTACATTTATTGGTGATATTTTTTAAATCAGTCTGCTTGGCCTCTTTAATTTTCCGTGCCACCTCCAACGTCACGATCTTACTCTATTTTAAACATCTTAACATATTCTAATTGTCATTTGTGAGACTCATAGACATGCTGCAAGTGAAACAAGTATTAGCATACTTACTTTGGTGTTTGTGCAGACAGTGTTGGCAGGACACACTTTGCTTCCACTTCCACATTCATCTATATCCTGACACATCTGTAAATTATATCTACTGTCAATGTTTTGTACATTTCAAAACACCTTGAGAATATCTTGATAGTACTATATATCCACTAAATTTTTACACAGAACTTTGTTAGCTCCAGCATGGGGGCACACATACTTTCCACTTTTAGGTCCATTAATTGACAACTATGGGGTCTATTCACAAAAGGTTGAAGAGTTTGGAGAAGGCAGGAGAAGGGAACAACATAGCTGAACTGGAAAGTGAGCTGAATTGGAGAATTTTTCCCAATCGGCTATTTTGTCCTAAATTTGTTCACTTCTCCTGCCTTCTCCAAACTCTTCACCCTTTTGTGAATAGACCTGTATGTTTTAATTGCGGTTTAAAACCTGTCCTGATTTAAAATTCATATACAGAGCCTTTGGTCCAAATGGTTTTGCAATAGAAACAATATGACAGTATTCTTGAAATTATAAGGTCTGCCTTTGCTATAGGGATGTTTTTTTCATTCAGCCTTTGGATATCTGTCTGTACACCTACCATCACTGGCAAGTCTTCAAAAGCTGAATACTGCACAAATACTAGGAATGAAAATTGCCCATTATCTCTCGCATACCATCCTTATATGCTATTAAACAAAGTAATATTTACTAATGCAGCATGTATCAAGCTACAAATAAATCTATTACAAGGGAAATTGAGACTTCTCCAACATTTCCGTGAAATTCCACCATTTGGGAGAAATGAATTGAAGTCAATGGTAAAAGGGAAAATAAGGTGGCTTTTCTTTTTTTGTAAGGGAGCAATGGGTTTTAAAAGGAGGTAAATTGGAACGTTATTTGAACAATCCCAGATCTGTTGTGCCCATTTGTTGTGTATTGTCACAATTGCCCATTTGTTGCCCACATATAATGATTGTCTATTTGTTGCACACATATTGACGTAATTCCCTTTTTTGTTGCTTACCTATTGTAATGATTGTCTGTTTTCTGCCCAGGTTTTGTCACATTTTTCCAATAGCAATTTCCAATTTTTGCCCACATACTGTAATGATTCCTTGTTTGCTGTCTATGTATTGTAACAGTTGCTCATTTGTTGGCTACGCAGTCTAACAAATTCTAATTTCTTGCCCACGTATTGTATTTATTTCATGTTTGTTGCCCATGTATTGTCACAATTACCCCTTTGTTGCATTGCATTGTATTGTCAGGATAGACAATTTGTAGCCTGTATTTTGTAACTATGGTCTTATTTGTAGTATATCTACTGTCAGAATTTCCACTATTTTGCTTATGTATTGTCAAGCCAGTGGTTTTTATTTACAGAACCCGATTACTATAATTTAATCCCATGCAAGCCTGCCATTATCGAACCACATCTCTATATTATCTGCATTAACCTGCTACTAAACCTTGTAATCCGCTGCAGATTAAGCAATTCACTGATTGGTTGTATTTTGAGTGGCCAGAATTTTTAAAATATTATTTTTACTTTCATTAATGTGCAGAATTATTAATATGCCTAATTTTAAAAAATACAGTTAGGTACAATTTAATGCCATCATAAAATGTTAAGAATTATGGTTTATCAGCAATACTTGTAATATACGCGCGCAGTTCTTTGTATAATGTTAATATATCATACATTTGTAAATACTAAATGAATCCAAACCTTTTTAACAAGATATTCAAAAACGGATATTCCTAAAATATTAGTCAACTTTCCTAAAAAAAAAAATAACCGTCAAAAATAACAATTTACAAAAACATATAAAAGCCTCCAAATTTATAATCAGTGTTCAAACTGTGAGTAAAGAATAGTTTATAGAATAGCTGGTTTGTTTTGAGGCTGAACTCCAGGATAAGCAAATATTGTTTAAATACAAACATCATGTGTATTCTTACTCTAATCTTGGTGTGCTGTGTGTGCATCTTTCAGATCTGTGCAGTAATCCAGTGTGAAACTTTACCTCTGTGCAGTAACTTCTTGTAATAAAGACCACTCACTGCTGCTCTCTCTGCAGAGGTCTCTCCTTAACCACCTTCCAAGAACCGTATTTAACAAGTGATAAACCCCGGTCCAAAAGTGATTGATTTTGGGGCATCTTCACCAAACATTTACCATTGAGCCCTGTTCCTCCCAATCCCGAAAACATACAGGGGGAGAACCTGTTGTGTATATCTAAGAGGAACCATATACCACCGTAGCAGTAACTTATAATTAGCTTAGTTATAATTAAAAGATAATGTGAGATTGTAGGGGTTTTTTTCTGCATGGTTTCCTTTGTTAATCTTATTTAATATATGTGTAGTCTTTAGAAGGGTAATCTATGTATGATTCCCAGAAATGTATGATTTGTCCTGACTATATGAAAATGTATTGTGTTTGCCCGGAATTCAGTTTAAATTTAATTGAAAGACACGCACTACAGATAGCCTATCCACACCATGTAATAGTTGATAATGTAATACTGCAACTGCTTATAGAATATGTTGTCCAATGTTTGAAGAAATTATCTTATCAGTATGCAGCGGACTTTTAAGTGTGCACACATAGACATATGTATAACAACATATAATGGTTTATTATTTTCATATTCCACAATTTCAAAATAAAAATAAAAGACATGTGATAGGGAAGTTGAGAAAATCCGGCTTAATGAGAAAAATGCCTCTACTTATCCCTATCCACCTTACACATCATATTATGCATTAATCAACCCAATTGGGTCCTACTATTCCTATCTTCTATCCCAGGGTATATTTTCAGTTAGTACAGAACACAAGATTTTGGATTCGATCCACTCAAAGCATTAGAAGAAAAAAAATGTGATATAGATATATTATGTCTGTGTTTGCCAACTTGGCACAATAAATGTAAGTATATTATTCATTGTGCCAAGCTGGACCAATATATGCACACATAAACCCCCACAATAGCCACCACCACCTGTTTCTTCTACTCTTTGTAGCATCTGCAATTTTGACTCTTAACAATTGTCTGTGGCAGACAAGGAGTCCTTAATTTTTGGTTTAGGACATTTAAAAATTCAGCTTAATTATTTAAATATCATTTTCATGAAAGGATGATTGATTTGATTCAAGAAAATATTTACAGAAAATGTTACAAAAACAGATAAGCAACAGCTAAATGAAATGGAATTAAAAGTGAAAAGTGCCTAACAAAGTTAGTCTAGTTTTTGGTTTTGGCAGAGCCCAATTTACTTTAGAGTAATCCCAATCTGATGTATGACAGTCGTCGCCTCTCCTGAATGACCCTTAGCAATCTTCATAGTTTCAGTGGAAAGTGAAAGCACCAGCTACCAATAGCAGCAGTTTTTTGTTGACCCTCTAGAGCAGGGGTAGGCAACCTTGACACTCCAGCTGTTGTGGAACTACAAGTCCCATGAGGCATTGCAAGGCTCTGACAGCCACAGACACAACCCCCAGAGGCAGATGCATGTTGGGATTTGTAGTTTCGGCACAGCTGGAGTGCCAAGGTTGCCTACCCCTGCTCTAGAGGGTTCTGCTAAACCAACCCCCACCCAATTTAAAAAACTGAGGGATATGATGTAGGTGTGCTGAAGTGCTTTATTATACTTTAGTATACACTCTTGTGTTGCCACTTTATTCACTATATACGTATTCCAGAACACCATGTTTTAGAGTCCCAACAACCAACATATTATTGGAAAAAAATAATTATGATTTGTCAGACACCACACGTGATATGACTCCTCTGTATGTCTTCCTCAGAAGAGGTAATGTGCCCTATCAGCTTTCTACTCCCCCCCCTCCACCCCCATAATATAGGTGTGTTTGGTGTCTACCTGGTCATTGTTTTCTTTATACATTTGTCAAAATGTAATTTTATCATAGCAGTAATATAGATCACCTACCCCAGTCTGGCAGATATGTATTTCTTTAGACTATGTATGACTATGGTTTTCCAGGTTCTGCTAAGTTCTGTTTATGATCCTGCTAGAAGTTTTACTACGCTCAAATAATGAAGTTTAGTTACACTGCTGCGTTGTTTAACTGGAATGTTTTAATAGGGTTTATGATGGTTCTGTTTGTTTTGAGCTGACTGTGGTGTTTTCTTTTTCCGAGGGTGCAATCTTGAAGTCTGTAGCTTTAAAATTGTGACTTTCTAAATCACCAACATAGAATGTAAATCTAACTGTTTTCATTGCTGACTTGCAAATTTTGGACAAATGAGTGTGGCTCAGTGTGCAACATGACTCCCCCATTCTCCCCACTCAGTTTGGGGTTCGTCAAACCACATTATCATCACAGGTGTTTTCTTAACCAGTTATGTTTTAGCAGTTATTTATCAGAAGGGCTGACTCTACTGAAGGGCTTACTCTACTTGTCTGATATAAATAAATAAGCAGCAGAGGTATCTACAAATCCATAAATTGTCTGCCTGAGAATATTGACCAGCCTACAAAAGAAAAAGTAAATTACAAAAATCATATGGAAATACATATCTAAAAGATTAGAAAGAAGTGGTTACCAAATGGAAGGTGCAAGCCAGAAATACTCACTAGATAATGCATAACCATTCACAAATAATGTATAATTATCTATTATTTAGAAATTGTGGATATTTATCCATTTAAGTTAACAGAAAAGTCCTTAATGAACTAACAAGCACATTACATTTTCACCTTAACCTTGTGTGTTTCAGCCATTTGATTTTGTGATTTTAGTTTTGAAAGCTTGATAGCCAGTTCAGTAACTAATAATAATGTCTGCAAACAGTCCGATTTTGTGAGTATAATTGCCCACAGAGATGCTTCTTATTTGTCTTTTGGATCTTACACTTTCTGCTAGGGGCTGCATTATAAGTGCAAATATGAGTGCAGACAGAGGGCTTTACTATCTCATGCCCTTTGTTATAGAGAACAGCTGAGATAGTATTCCTGAGGAATAGACCTGAACCAAAGTGTTAAAATACAGGGCTAAAATTTTAAAAAGTTGTAGCCCAAAAGAACACTTTTTGGAAAACCTGTTTCATATAGCTCCAATGAATTCTATCAAATGCTTTTTCAGCATCTAATGCTAATAGCAGTGGTGGACAGCGTTAAATTTCTGAGTACCTGATCAAATTTAACAGGCTACTTGTGCCATCAGGTGCCTGTCTTTCTTTGAGGAACCCCATCTAGTCAGGTTTTATACATTGTGGGATTATAGCTAGGAGACTATTAGCAATGGCCTTGGTGTAAATTTTTAGGTTGGTATTTGAAAGAGATCTTGGTCTAAAATTCTGGGCTAGAATTGACTCTTTACCTGGCTTTGGCCAGGTTACTATAGTTACTATAAGTTACTATAAAGGCCTTCAACATTTATGATGGAAATTAGCTTGATTATAATTAATTAGACTGATTAATGAATTTCTAAGTAAATTATGATTTAGGTGATTGATGTTTTCATTATTACTATTATATTTATGATGTGGATAATGAAGGTGCGTGCGTGTGTGTGCATGCGTGTATATACATTTTTTAACTATGCATCCAGATATGATGTAAGTACTTTATACTTTAGTCCAAAACAAACACACACTGCTCACATCCAAGGCGCCACTGCCAATCCGATCAACCTATATAGTTTAGATTAGGATTATGTTCCATTAGCAATTGCTGTTTTAAGTTTGGCCAGGTTTTAAGCACTGTGCAGAATGCTTGCATTGTGCATATATGTGGAAAGTGTTCCGTTGTTATCTAAACCTTCTGGGGCCCTCTGAATTCTATCATCACATTTAAGCTTTTTCCTGATGGACCAATATCTTTTTTACATACCTTCTAAAATGGGTATTTCTGACATAAAAAAATACATCAAACTCCCAAAACAGTATATATTTTCTGGAAGCAGAGGATCTGTAGAATAAAAGGATGGTAGTTGCAATTTTTATCACCAAATTTACAAAACTGCCTATCAAATCACTTCTTTTTGATAGCCCAAAGCCTGCTGAACAAATTGTCAATCAACATATGGCTCAAATGGTTAATTTACACCCTGTAATTACTATGCCGTAATATTCAATGGGTTAATGCACAAAGAAACTTTGTAAACATTACAATATTAGCTCGAAATGTGAGCTTGTTACAAATACACCATAGTTTTCCTTCAACTATGTAAATATTTTTCACAGCATACTGTTTTACAAAGCAGTTCCAACCAATATCAAGGCACAGTGTTGTGATATTGTTTTAGACATCCATCACAGTTTTAAAGTTATACATAATTTGATTATCAAAATTCATATATCTTAATATGATTATTACCTATATGCAAAGGAAAGAATAAAATGCTGAACTGAATGAACTTCAAAGCATATGGGATTATTGTTTAAGCCATGTGTCTTACTGTAAGCTGCTAAACCCTAAACAGCTCTGTTTTTAAAATGTTTCAGAAATAAAAGGCTGCAGAAAATGTACATTTTCCTCTATGCCACCAGTAATCATTGGTACCAGTTCATCATTATTAGACATGTAAGATTCGTTTCATTTCCGAATTGAAATTCGGACCGATATCGGCATATTCAGACATTTGGATGCATCTGAATTTCTGAATGAAATAACGAATGTGAACGTATCTGAATTTTGCATGCATCCGAAGTTTTTTCTGAATGTCATTCTGAAGGTCAGGTAAGAATTTTAGGGGGCCCCACCCCCAAAAAAAAAGCGTGGGGTCCCGCCTAAAATCCCTTACCAGACCCTTGATCCGAGCAGCAGCCTAGCAGAGCAGGAAGGGGGGACAAGCATGTGCCCCCCCCCTCCTGAACCATACCAGACCACATGCCCTCAGCATGGAGAGGGTCCCCCCCGGCAAAGCACCTTCTGCCCATGTCTATCACATTTGGATTTCATTAAAGGGCATCCAGATCCACCCCCCTTGTGAATGAGTAAGGGGTAGTTGTTACCCCTACTCATTCACCAAATAAACTGTACAATTGTAAATAAACACACAACACTGTAAAAAAAATCCTGTATTTAAAAAAAAAAACAATAACGCAGGTTTTTGACAAGTCTTTTATTTTAAAAAAAGTGAATCAATGTAATCTCAAGATCACTCAAGTTGTCCAGTGATCCACATGAATCACTATGGACAACGGCTGCCGACTCGCCAAAAGAAAAAACTCCCGATGACCACCGACCTGACTGATGACCACCGACCTGACTGAATCGACAGACACTGCCGCAAAATGACAGCTCTGACCCGAATGTCAACACATGTTGAGAGCATGCGGCCTGGAATGGTCCAGGAAAGGGGGCGCAAGTTTGTCCCCCCCCCCTTTCCTGCTTTTCCAGGCTGCTTTTCGGATCAAGGGAATTTAGGGAGCACCCCGCGCCTTTTTTTTTCTGTATATTGGCGTTCATTTAATACCAGACCCTTCAGGTCTGTTGGAATTTTAGGGGGGACCCCACGCTTTTCTTTTTATTGTTTCTCTGGACTGTCAAAAGTTAAAAGTAAACATGTCACTTTTCTACAACAAATTTTTGTTGTAGAAAATTAAAAATTTAATGAATATTTCAGGTTCAGACAAATCCAAATACTGAAACAAATAGTTTTTTGGACCCGAATCCTGAAAAACAAAATAATGAAGAATCCAAAATGTAATTAAACTAGTTTTTGCAGCCTTACATGGTTAATGAATATTATTACAGCTAACTGGACTTTTAGTGATGTGCACAAGTGTGGTGTGGGTCTTTAAATGTATTGGGACAGCTTTTTATTTGGTGTGCTGTATTTTAGAATTATGTCATTTAAACAGATTAGTATAATACACTACAATACCTTTAACACCTGTGTGCAGAAGGCAATTATCTTAAATCCAAGTAAAGTTCATATGAAGAGCACATAATGTAGATAATGCAGAATATGTATTTCTAGAAAATCCTCAGCAATATTTACCTGCTTATTTGCTTTAGCAAACTCCAGCCCAACTCCTTCTACCCTTTTTCCTATATAACCAATAGGACATGGGTCACAATGGAATCCAGGAGATGTGTTGACACAGCGGACACGGGGAAAGCATGGATTCACAGAGCACTGCAAAGACAAATCATTAATATTAGTACAAGTATAAGTTTAATTCTCCTTTGAGGTAAATGTTTACCTTCACATCCACTATAAATAGTTTCTAAAATAATAAGGGCCCGCTTAAACTTCCACACTGTGGTAACAAGCAGCAATGCACGTTACATAAGTTGCTGCATTGAGGTGCCATTCATTTTGAATGGCACCCCGCCACATTAAAGTAACACACCTGCAGTGCACCACAATGCTTGGTAGTGCATTATAGTGGATTGCGTTACAAAAAAGGGTCACATCCGGTTTTCGGCAGTTGGCAGCCCAGTCAGTTCAATGGGCTGTCTTTATACAATGCACTGAAAAAATTTAAATGGGCCCTCAAGTCCAGGAAAAGTTCTGTTGAAGAGGCTAATGATAAAGTCAGTGTGTAGAAAATGCTGTAAATGCCTTGTCAGTTTAAATCCATTCCCTTTTAACCCCTTCATGACTGAGCTTGTTTTTAGTTTCTGTTCGTAAATGACTGACACACTTTTGACATTTTTGCTGTGTGATTCTTCCACGTCAGTAATATACTTTCTTACAAAGTGCACCCACACATATTATATATTGTTTTTTAGAGGACAGATAGGGCTACATATTTATATCACATATGTGCGTCTAACGCCTCACTTAGGACAAATAAAATTAAAAAAAAGAGGAAAAAAACGTTTAAAAAAACACTTTTTTCCCAGTTTTGATTTGTAGTATTTTTTTTACAAAACCAGCACAGCTAAAAAAATGCAATAAATACATTCATTTATTTGTCCCTTATTTTATTTTATTTTTTACACATTTTTTTATTTTTTTTACACTTTTCAAAATTTTTTTTTTTTTTACACTTTTCACTTTTTTTTTTAACTTAAAAATGTTATTTTATTTATTTAATTATATCAAGCAGATTTTGTGAATTAATCTCACTGTTACTGCATGATAAATTAATAAATTTTTGGTTATTATCAGGCTGCTTCAAACTTCAGAACAGCCGATAATAAGTTAGTGACACTGATCCTGCAGCAGTTCAGGATTCAGCTGTTACTAAATGTTTTCTGATTGTTGCAACAACGATCAGCAAACAAACATTCTTCTTCCAGGAATAGATACATTGTAGGAATAGACACATTTTGTATCTATTCATGAAAGAAAAAAAAAAAGCCAGTATAGCTTGAGAGAGATATCTCTCGATCTATACGAGCTGTCAGAATGCCGGCAAAAGCCGGCATCTGTGTCCGCTTTGCTTTGACTCTCAGACACCCGATATTAAGGTATCGGGTGTCTGAAAAAGGTTAACCCTTTCATTAATGAATGCCTCTGTAGTAAGGGCAGCCATTAATGAATGTTAAAAGCTGATTCTCAGCGATTAACAGCCCTCTAAAGCAGCAAATAACTCGTCACGTACAGTGTACGTGACAAGTCATTTGGTCCCTTTGTGGCTGGACGTACAGTGTACGTCTCCCGTCACGAAGGGGTTAATTGAAGCACTATATCTGCAATCAATGTTGTTTGAACATATCCCTGTTTGATTCCTCAACAGTTTGGCTGAACAGGTCAAAAATCAGCAACACCTGAAACCTGAATTCAAACATCATTGACATCAATTTTGACAGAATTAGAGAGAGCTGGTAGAAGACTGCTGCAGTCCTGTATGGGTTATTCTACAGGATCTACGGTGATTAAAAAGTTTGCAGCAATCCCTCCATCCAGCTTTTTCAGTGCTTTTAAAATGTTTCTAAACCTATGGGTGAGCCTTCAAGAAAACAAATCTTCTCATTGGTCACCTCATTGACAGCTAAGCCACTGATTGACAAAAGATGCCTCAGTCCTCAGCAGGAAGATCCACTCTCATTGTATGTCCTAGTGACAATAAGGTTACTGGGACAGAAAGTTAGGGAACATCTAAAATCACCCAAACACTTGTAGATGCTAAATCTCCTAATTAGGACACCTGTCTCCTTGACGCCTGTTGTAAGTGCTATTTCCCATCATTTTGGGAGATTTTATCTCGCTTCCTGTCGAATCACCAGCACAGTAAGTTTGGAAATATTTCTGCAGTGGGGACACAGACAGCAAACCATCCTCACTCTACCAAAAATAAAAAGGTTTGCCTGGATTTCCAAAATTCAGAGTGGTTTTGAGATGTTGCTAATTGCCAGAGTGCCAAAATACGCTGTTCCCATTGCAAGGGAATTTTCCCTTCGCTTGTGAATGTGGTGAAAATTAATTTTGCGAAGAATAGCCAATTACATGTGAGGAAAAGTAAAAAATTAATATTTTTGCTTGCACATTTTTGGAGGTGCCTTTAGTAAATTAAGCCCATTGTGTCTTTTTCTGATCGATTGATATTTTTGCTTGCACATTTTTGGAGGTGCCTTTAGTAAATTAAGCCCATTGTGTCTTTTTCTGATCTGATTGATAGATCTCAGCTGAATGACTATGAATGTGAAAACCCTAGGGATGAGGTGATAATTTTGTAGCCTCTATACTTGGGGAATATTGGTTATCCATAGACTAACCAGACCAGATGTTATCAGATGCGCAGTCACAATCTCACTGCCCTTAAAAATAAAACAGCAAAAACCTACAAGCATGCAGCGGAGGCTGGAGTTATCTTATCATCAAACGAAACGGTATTGATTAGGGAAGGTTTTCTAAACCACCTTATCAATTGCTCCTCCCAGACATCTAGTGGGGGTCCCACAGACATCATCCAGAGGCAATTCAATCCAACTGGAGGTCCTAACGTATTCAATCTGAGAGTATTTATGGCCATTGGGATGGTCCTAAAATTCTTCCTGACAAACATTCTGAAACAAGATATCCAGACTTTTTTGGACTATTCCACAAAATGAGAACCAGCTATTATTATATCAGGCTGAAAAAAATCGCAACCCTCTCTTTAGCTGTCTTTTGAAGACCTTAATTCCCTAGTAGATTTCTGAGCAGAAATCAAAACCTTTACTCCAATCGAGCCTTAAATTGAGACGTTTTTGTTCAGGTAATTTAGTAATGGGGCATGTTAAAGACAATAGGGAGAATTCTTTTAAAAAAACCTGGAGCAGACAGGGTCTGAGGCAGTTGCCCATGGCAACCAATCGTCTCATCTGTTTAATTTTTGAAGCTTAACTGAACAAACTGAAGAGAGAAGCTGCTTGGTTGCCAAAGGCAACTGCTCCAGATCCTAGGTTTTATGAATTACCCCCATTGTACTTATAGCTTTACTTAGCTGCTGTCCAGTGGTATTTATTTGGGCTATAATAAAGAGCTTAATAGTTACTAACTGAGCTGCCTATTCAATTGACCTTAGTGGAGTTACAACCATCTATAGACATTCACGCTGTATACTTATTCTCTGTTTGAGGTAACAGTGCTACTGTATATCAAGCTAAAGATTTATTATTGTTCAACCTATTAAATGATTTTTGATTGATGTTTAGGTATACCCTGTAGATTGATAGAAATTTCAGTTGCTTGTTTGTGATCATTCCATTATAACAATAACAGTCATGTTCTAATGAAGATTGTTTGATTTGAGGATGGTGTTCTGGGACTTGGTAGATGTTTATGATATATGATTGTGTGAAAAATACATTTTATGTAATTTTTGTTATGTAATATCAGATTACTATAGCAAAGTTTTACATTGGATTTTGAGTCAAGAGAGTTTTTTCTCATATAACATAGTTTTGACTTCAGGATGGCAATTACCTCATTAATATCAGTGCAGTGTGTTCCATTTCCAAAATAGCCAGGGGGACATGGTCCACATTGGAATGAGGAGCCCATTTCTGTGCAGGGAACTCCAGCAAAGCAGGGATTAGGTTCACATCTTTTTGAAAAAGCCGTAACAACAATACCTGGGCCAGTGGCTGTTGTGTGAATTCCTGAGAAAAATAGGGAAAGGAAAGTAATATATACACCTAATAAACGAAAATTTACATAAGTAAATATATTAAAGGATCAGAGCAGTAGATAAAACATTTAGAAACATTTCTGGGATAGGTTGAGATTGTTTGTTTTTTCAGGCAGCCCTGTGGCAGCTTGTACAAGAAAATATAAAAAATGGTTGCTAAGTTTCTGTCCGATAGTATTGTTTAGTGTGTTAGTGTAAACAGTAAACATATGTATTTCAACTGTACTTTTAGCCGTTTGGGTGGAGTTTCCCTTTAAAGATTTATGTTGCTAACTTCCCAACTACACATTTAAACCCTGGACTAAATATAATTTAGAGAATTAAGTTAAAAAAGATTCAACATTTTAAAGTACAGTTTGATTGCATTTGTACACTATGTAAAGCAAACTGGTGTATGTAGGGTTTGGGACAGCACCACCAAAATCACTACAGCATCAACTCTGAGGTGTGAACAACCTTTTTCTGAACGTTGGGTGACGATTAAATGTACTTTGCTTAATGATAAACAACTCAGGAAAAGTGCATAGATAATGCCTATAATACACAACCTCTATTATCAACTAATATTAATTTACCAAATAAGTTCTGAGTGAGCAAAACATATTCTCTCTGAGGCTTAGAGGCAGACTATGATGCTGCAGGTGCCCTACACCCGCTTAAAGACCACTGACCAGTTAGCTCTCGATCTCTGCTTCTAGCAGAGGTCAGTGATTGTCAGTCACTGATCCCCCTACATGGAATCCTTTTTTTCTCTACTCTCTGTCCTTTAGCACTGGCTGGAGCTACAGGCCGGGAAACTGTGGCAGCCAGGGTGGATCCCAACAATATTGTTGGAATGCTCATCAACCACAGCACTGTCAGCCAATAGTGGGCATTATCTTGCTATCAGCTGACTTTGAGTCACAAGAGTACAATGGTAAATGTACTCCTGTGAGCCCAATAAGAAGTGTAGCCAAAAAAAGGATTGGCTTACTTCTCTATTAATTTCTATGTAAGAATAGGAAAATAAGGGTGCTGCAGCTCAATAATATAATAATATAAAAAAGTCTGCATTATAATATATTTATTTTACTGACAAAAGTAGATCAGTTTGTCAACAAGACCCAAACCAGCCAGCGTTTAAAAACAAATATGAATTATTGTGTATTTATTTCAGTGTAAAAATTGCCCCTACAATACTATATAGCACCTACTTGCACAATTCTCAATCATTTGTACTAGGCCCCATTTTGAACAGGACCCTCTGCAACCATTTTAAAATCAAGAATTCAATATTTGAGAGTAATTTATTCATAGAAAAAGCCCCCAAAATATCATAATGCCTATGTGCACACTATTGAATCATATTTTTAGGTCTCATTTTTGTACTGCCTACGTGGACAGTACTGAATCACTAGGCCCCATTTTAAACAGGACACCCAGCAGTCATTTTAAAATCAGAAAATCAACATTAGAGTGTAACTATTTCATGGAAAAAAGCCTCCCAATATTGTCCTCTCTACATGCACAGTATTAAATCAATTATACTAGGCCCCATCTTAAACAGGACCTCCATCCCGGCTGTGGAGCGGCCCTGCACTATCAGCATATACTGAGTTTTGGTCACTGGAGGACAAAGTATATATCCTCCTGTGACCCTGAAGAGAACTATGGGTAAAAAGGTTGCCCCATAGTTCTCCTGTAACATATAAGGCCATGACTGGACAGAGAATATACATTCACAGCAATGCATACCACTTAACCATTTAAACCCTAACTCTGGGCAAAACAAGTACCCCCTCTAACCCCTCCCTCACACTACTTTGTGAATGTTTCATTTTCTAAAACTGCTAAACTCCTGTTTGACTTGTCCATTTGTGTTCCATATGAATCAGTTAATGGCTGCTAATTTTTAAATGCAGAAGTGGCAATTCGATGTGGCGTTTTCTCCCTTGCAAACCCTTTTTTTCCTGTGAAGACTCAAATCAATTTGACCTTTTGACAACTGCATACCTCAAATTGGTCCTTTCCCCTTTAAAAGGGAACCAGTATCCATACTTTGGTAGACTGGTATAGTGTTCAGATTGCTGTTAGCTTGTGCTTATCTGTTACTCTTGTCTGCCTTTATCATTGCCTTGTCCTGACATTGTCTCCTTGCTCATCTGACATCTGGGTCTTTCTTGCTCTCAGTCTGCCTGCACACGGCCACCTTTTTTGGTCCTCATCTACCTAAACTTCTTCTAACTTCCAACCTGCAGGACAATCTGGTTCTGACTACTTGCTTGTCCTGATATTTCTAGAACTCTGTCTCCCCTGATCTGTGCTGACTACTACAAAGTACAACCTTTCATACATTGTTAAGCAGACTGATGTGTAGAATTGACAAGCTGTATATGCAAAAATGTGATGTGTTCTAACTCTGTGGCTTTTACAGCCTTGGGTATCCACCCTGATTCTGAAATCTTGAATTCTATATCATGACTTAGTGGCATATTTATAAAGCAGTGAATATGACACCCACCAAACATTCACTGTGTTCAATTTTCAAAGTTAATGTGTTTTAAAGGTCGGTGATCGATTTATCACCAGTGAATGCTTGGTGTAAGTCAAATTCACTGCTTTATAAATATGCCTCCTAATATTTATTTAACCAGTTGACATCCGCGGTGTTAAACCCCCTTCCCATCCAGGCCATTTTTCAGTATTCAGCGCTGCGGTACTTTGACTGACATTTATTCCGTCATGCAGCGCTGTACTGAAATGAATTTTATACCCTTTTTTGGGGACAGATAGAGCTTTCTTTTGGTGGTATTTATTCACCACTGGGGGTTTTATTTTTTTACTATATTAAGGAAAAATTACCGAAATTTAAAAAAAAAAACAGTTTCCCCTATATTAAATGATAAAACATTTATTATTACCCAATTTTTTGGTAAAATATAAAAGATGGGGTCACGATGCAAATATATTATGTGAGGGCCACTTGCTATCTGGATTTAATTTTCCATCTTTACCCTTCTTACTAAAAATATTTTGATTAGCTAGTTCTATACATATGCAGAGTTTGTATCAAATGTTAATTTAGCACACCATTAAAGTCTGTTATAAGTCAACAGAACATAGTACCCATTTCCTGTAATTCCTTTCAATATTTCACTAATGTTCTGTGGAATAACATGTCATCTTGTTTTTTTTAGAATCTGCCTTCCGTCTGTCTTTTTGGCTCCGTCATATATGGATATCAGGGGAAATAACTGGTTTTCTGTCTTTCCTTTTTGGCAGCAGAGACTGAATGAGACAGTAATATTACTTTGTCTTGGCATCATCTGCAGTCAAAAGAAAACTAAAGATATTCAGCTAAGGGAAAGAATGAGCATCTTCTGCCAGAGCAGAACAACACTGTGTCCACAGGCTAGCTAAATGCCAGCCTACATCACTTCTGGACAGTTCACAGAACTACTTATTATTTCCTACTTGCTTTCACCTTTAGAAATATGGCTTATTTTCCATACACATTTCATCGCTGTGTTTAATCTCTGGGTTTAGTTGTTCCTTTAGTTTTATGTGGAATAAAAACAAAAATAGAGCTGCTAACAGCTGAGCAAAAAGTAAATCAAGACTTACAAAACATACCCTAGCGAGATTCATGTGTGCTAATGTTTATACTACCTCTGTGTGATCAGTAGCAAATACTACTGAATACAAATGATTCTTTTAACTCTCCACATAGCAGAAGTGGCTATGCCTCATGTTGCCCATTTCAAGGGCAAGGCTTTTTCTGCATTTGAAAAGTCTCAACTTCCTCACTGCCATGGCCAGTTAGTTTTGGCTCCCTGCGGGTGACAGGTGCAAGAAGAGGGGAAGACCTAGAAGCCAGCATCGGAGTCTGCCCCTAGCAAAGGGGGAAAGAAGATTCTGATTGGATTCTAAATGTGCACCCACATGTTGCTGTATGGTGCTATTGTGTGTGCTAGAGACCCCTGGGCTGCAAAGAGTTGCGGCCTGTGGTGCACATGGGAAGCAGGCTGCTAGAAGACAAAGAGCTGCTGTGTCATGAGGCTGCTGCTGTGAAAAACCAAGCAATACAGAGCAGAACCACAGAAAGTGGATCCCCCAAGAAGGTTCAAGCTTGAGAAGTAGGCCTTTCATCCGACCTCACCCAGAAGCTGCGGCCTATCTTCTATACACTTCCATCCAGTACATAGGACCAACCATCCAGCAATGGACTGTGTCAGGGAGGACAGCATCAGAACACTGGAGTGGTGAGAGTCCTATTGGCCACTACTAAGTGTTCAGTTGGTTGCTGTTCTTTGCTGAGATGAGTTCTGCCAAAACAGGACCAGATCATTTATTTCTTTGTGCATTACAAATCTCTCAGGATTAAGAGTGAGTGCTCCACAGAGAGTAAAAGGGTCCCAACGGTGGCAGGGCTGTAATTAAATTCTCCAGTGGCTTAGTAAGGGACTGAAACTCGCAGACTGTTTGCTCACCATTATATTCTTTGGTTTTATGTGCTGCTGTTCTGACATTCCATGTACCAGTAGTTGAGACTGTTCTAAAGATGTCCACATTGTGTCTGTCCAGGTACAGGGCAGATCCTCACTGGGGGAAAACAGAAGGAACCATCTATTGGCTCCTTAGGGGGTAGAGCTCTATATCTTCTGTTTGCAAGAAAGGATCCCCAATTCACCCCCTTAAACCTACACCTGACCTAGTAAGAGTCCTTGACTCATTGACTAGAATGCCTGAATCCAATACAGTAAATTCCCAGTTATCCGGTACCCCTGGGGATTGGTAGATGCCAGATAACTGTAGTTTAACTACTTCCTGGATCTGAGCAGGTGTTTTTAAAAGTACCATCAGCCACACCCACTTGCACGCGCTGTGCGGGAAAGTGGCAAAAAAAAAAAAAAACAGGCAGTGATGCCCGTTTACATACAACCGATTCGCCGGCTCTATAGCCAGCAGATCACATGTATAATGTGCCGGTATGTGTGCCCCCCCTCCCGCTGTTCCGCTGGTCCCAGGCTGCGCTGTGCCCGGTGCGAGCCCAGGACCAGCTTGATGGCTCTGTGACGGGATCAGAGGGAGTTCGGTACACGATCCCCTCTCCAGTGTCAGAATGCGGAAGTGATGTATATTACTTCACTTCTGCATTCTTGTGTCACTCTCCAGCTTCAGAAGCTGATGAAACAGATCTCTGCTTCATCAGCTTCTTTGGAGGTCCCTAGGTGACATTAGGGGTCTTCGAGAACCCTGATGTCTCCATAAAGAGGACCTGTCACATCCTCTTTGCTATCACATAGGGGGGAGGGGGGGTTCTTAGCTTCCTATGTGAAAACAATAAAGTTAAGTGGAAAAAAAATTTAAGTTGCAAAAAAAATAAATTAGTCACACATGAAAAAGAATTTAAAAAAACTAATTTAAAAAAAAAAGTCCCCACCCATGCATACACACATGCATCGCATACGTGCAAAAACGACGATTGCCCCCATTACGCCGCACCTGTTACATATCGCCGTGAACGTCGCAATGATAGCAATAATTGTAGGACCATTAATCACTGATAACACTAAACTGATGAGCGGGAAAAGCTTTTAAAGCGTCGCCTTTGGCCAATTTTGGGTATGGTAGTTTTTTGCGATTTTGCGGGTGCTCGCAATTTTAAAGCTTGACATGTTTGGTGTCTATTTACCCGACATGACCTCGTCTTTTATATTTTACCAAACAATTGGGTAATAATAATTATATTGTAATATAATGGAGAAAAAAAATTTCAGTAATTGTTCCTTAATATAGTAAAAAATAAAACCCCCAGTGGTGATTATATACCACCAAAAGAAACTCTATCTGTTCCCAAAAAAATTGTATAAAATTAGTTTCAGTACAGCGTTGCATGAGGGAATAAATGTCAGTCAAAGTACCGCAGCGCTCAATACTGAAAAATGGCCTGGCCAGGAAGGGGGTGTAAACACCCCGGTCATCAAGTGGCTAAGAGTTACTATCAGCTGGCTATTGCACACACCCACTGCCCGTTGTTTACATTCACTTGCCATCTTCTCATAAGTTGAACTAAAATTGTGTAAACTGTCCTCTCCATATTATACTCTTATGTGACATGATGAGTATTCACTTACCACAAGCATCACATTCCATTACTGTGTTTTTCACAAATGTTATTTCTTTTATCTAGAATAAAAGAAAAAAAGGGTTTTCACATGTTAGCCCAGGTTAATAAAAAATCATGGCATACGTATTTGTATTTTCCAAAATATAAACTCAGTTGTATAATACACTTTTTTCTTTCCTGTTGTATCTTTCCATTTTGATATGACTGGTGATTGACAATGGCTTCAGTTAGGTAAATTTGTTTTGGAATACAGTGCAAGTTTAATTCCGCCATTAAAACTATCAAATGAAAAAAAAATTTGTTGGAAAAAGAATAATGTTTAACTCATTAACAGAGTGGCAGTGGCAAGAGGTATGCATTCTTGGCAATGAGTAAAAGAGGGACTCATAAGAACGATAACCAAATTTAGATGTAGAAAAAAAAATCAACAAATACATTTCCAGGAGCAAATATGATTAATAAATTGTGAGTTTTCAGTCTGTTAAAATAATCATACCCGTTAGCAGATTGGAATCCTCAGTATGCCCTCCCTCACTAACACTGAGACAGCAGCCACCCATTACTACTGCACAATAACCTCATGGCTGCTCTCTTTACAAATGCATACCCTCATGGTGACGTACTGTAAACCTTATGTGGGAAATATAAGACTCCTACACCCAGAAACAGATCATATTTCAACTGTTGAAAAAGCTTACATTTGAAACCCAGTTTGCCTTTACAGGTGCCTCCATCTGGTTACATCTCTAGCAGGTGATGGTGTCTTTTTGAGATACTGGGGTTGATTTACTAACCTTATAAACACACCACGAACATGTATACACCTCTGTAGTGTGTTCCCTCCCAGCATGATCTATGGGTGGAATCTAAACACCTTTGTAGTGTGTACACACCCAGCAGGTGTGTTGTGCAAAGCCCTGCATGAATTGCAAGGTGATGTTGTGTAAATTAGCTCTATGTTGTGTTGCTTGCATTGATGAATGCAGGAATGTAAATGCATGAGCTAACCATTTTTGTCTAAACTGTGAAGCAGCATTATATATGCATCATGTGCATGATTTTTCCATATATGGCATTAGTGGAAATATGCTTTTAGAGACTTTTTGGTTGATAAATACGTTTTGCTGTGTGAAAATCACACGCACCTGGTGCGTGCGTGTGTTTAGGTTAGTAAATCACCCCCACTGTCTCTAGTCAATGATGTACTACTGCTTCCATCTCGATTATATAACAGGATACAACTTCACAGAAGATAATGAAGCTATATAAATTACTAATAATTATATCAAGTGCATCAAAAGGAATAACAGTACCACAAGACTTAAGAGTTCAGCAAGAAATTATTAAATGCAGCAAATAGCCAAACAGCCAATACATTTCAGGGGCTTAAACACTCACCCTTCATCAGAGTTTAAATACTGTCACTGGATACACATTATATATTTTTTATATATTATAGTTTCACTTAGGTTGAATGTATCTGTTTATGTATTTATGTTTAATTTGTTTGATTTCTTCTAATACATTTCAGTTTTTCTAGAATATTAAAGTAAATATTGATTTCCTAAATTACTTCAGAGTTACTATACTTCCCAATGCATTGCAGCTGAACAATTCTAAAACCACTACAGAAAAAAGTCAAGGGGGGCTACTGCCCACATCTGCAGTATTGATACTGTTTTATATTCCACTGAATTCTCAGAAGAGGCTGCTACAACAATATATTTTTTAACATTGGCCATTCATTTTCTAATATGTATGCAAACATTCTCATGCTCAGGAAACAAATATTTATGTAAATAAATAACCAGGAAGAGGTAACATATGCATAAACAAGCATCATTATTTAATTCCTCTCTTGGGTCCTCCACCAAAGAAAAAGACTTTGTTAATCGGATGTGTTGCACTAGTCATCGTTTTGCAGCCAAGTCAAGAGATTACAGATGGCTAAACCATGAGGTCTAATAATAACAAATTACTGAATGCATGCTACAACAGGCAAGCTAACAGGAAATTAATAAAATTAAACTGATCCTGACCAACAGTTTTAATCATCTTCGGAAAACTGTCCTTTATCTGGATGTACATGCTATATATGTGTGCATTATAGGTATATATAATGGTGGTTAGATGCTATATCAAATAATATGCCTTTTAATGAAAGGGTAAATCTGATAGTTTGTTGTTCATCAACACTTTAATTAATAAGGTGTGGTTACACTGCTGGGTGATACTGTAATGAAAGATACAATTATGTGTAATATGTAGGGCTGCAGCTAAAGATTATTTTCATAATCGATTAGTTGCCCGATTTTTTTTTTAACTAATTGGTTGTATTATAAAAACTCTCTCTCTCGAAGAGTTGCCAACTATTCTCATAATCGATTAGGTGTTGCAGCCCTAGTAATGTGACATTATCCTCAATTTTCATTGGATTGCTCTGCCTTAAATCATTTTAATTTTAAAAGCCACAGTAAAAAATAGTTGAACCTTACAGTTTCATTCGTTGGGAATCTAAGAACAGACACATTTTTGGCAAGGTATATGTTTAGATCTTAAAGTAGATCTTTGACCCTATAAGAATCCATGGCTTCCATGATTTATGGCTTTGCAATCAGTATACAGCATTAAAACCCCTTAAAGTACAGTATATTTTGACCCAAGAACAAAAATTGATATATTGCAGCTTAACACGTTTGTATGTTCACACCAACAAAAAAAGAAAACATTTGTGCATGGTATGATCAGCATTTGGGAAAACATAAATGTTTAGATACATTTGTATTATGTGTTCCATATTAAAAATGTAGAACATGTTTGCATCATGAATCTTGATTCTGACAGCAAGTCATAAGTGTGTACTCCAAACTTTTTTTTTTTAGCATCGCTCCATGGCAAATCTTTTAAAATAGTAGCTAGTTACCTGCTGTTTTAGGAGTTCCCGAACTTCTTTCAGAACAAGATTCGTTTCTTTCATCTCTGCAAGCATTTGAGGACCAACATCACCTAAAATAAATGTTTTATCGATTATTACATTAAAAGACCATTAACTTTAGGGTGGCAGAGGTGCTGAAATGCTCTCTCCTTAATAGGTTCGCACAAGGTCAGTTCTGGCACAAATTTCCAGGTGGACACTGCATTATGGGCTCTGTTGCTACAGGCTGGTAATACGTCTTGGGTGCGTGTTTAGGGGAAGAAGTGCAATAATAGTAGTCTCCTCTGAAGAAAGACAGTTCCTCATTGAAGTTTGTTGCCATTGCAACTAACTCTGTTGATATTGAAGTTTTCCTTTGTTGAGGTGTTTAAAGTTTTTGAAGTTTAAATTGATTTCAAGTTTCTACATTGTTACCAGAAAGTGATAACCTGTGAAGCACTGTTCGAAAGAGTATTCCTCAGCAGAAGAGACCATTGAGCACAGTACCAGCTATGCATTTTTTTGTTTTTAATGGAGCAGGGAAAGATTAGGACTCCTGTCAGGTTTTTATTGCTTACAGTTGTTACCAGAACAAGAGGTGAGGGTAATTCTAGCAATGACCTTTTCTGGTGACAACAGTCTAAGAGGGGTCTTAATCTTAGTAGAGGTTTCCTATCTCTTCCTGTCATGTATCTAGGGCAAGAAGTGAAGGGATATCTTCCCATTGAGACATGGTTACAAAATAACTGACAGGATTTAACTCTTTATTATATGATATAAAAATGTTTTGGCTCTACATAAACGTAAGGAAATGCATGTCAAAACTGTAGCCACACGACCATTCACCTGAAAGCAAAGCCAAGGTTGCTAAAATGGTGGCCTGGAATGGTCAAGGACAACAAACAAAATATGGAAAGTTGCAAAAAGCTGTCACTCAACAGACCAGAGCACCAAAAACGAGACTACGTTGCCACATATAGATTTAAAAATAGGCTTTATATTATTGCTGGTTGTTGACTATATTCAATGGTATCCAAAAGTCCTCAATTACATCAAACCTCTCACAGCATCAGTGCCAAGAACAAGTCTGTATTTGCCAGATGTGATATTCTATGACAGCGTTTCAGACAACATTTTTGCAGCTGGGAAATATATACTTTTACATCCCAAGGGGAATCCTACTGTAAATTTAACCGAAAAGATGATCACAGTAAGATGTATATGGTGGTATATACAATGGAGGGAATTTATCAAAACTCGAGCAGGCAAAAACTGGTGCAGATATGCATAGCACCCAATCAGGTTCTCTCTTTCATTTTAAAATCTTAACTGAACAAACTGAAGAGAGAAGCTGATTGGTTGCTATGCACATCTGCCCCAGTTTCTCTCTGCCCCAGTTTTGATCAATTTCTCTTAACATCCGTTGTATCCAAATCAAATTCAATAACATTTTCTATGTAGAAGTCCAAAGGGTCTCCAGATCTCAAGTTTAGCCTCAGTGGTTCAACAGCTAGTTGGCCTACAACAATGTACTTGCACTAGAAGAGTTGTTAGGAGACCTTTATGACTATCAGGATTATGCTTTCATCTCTGCGTGGTTAAAACTGATTTCATTTGCTATAGAGGTCCTGTAACCAACTTGTAAAAATAGGTAAAAGCAGAGAAATTATTTTAAATGCTTACTTACAATGTTTTTCCTTTCTGTAAATTCATTTTTTATTCACTTGCAATGTGCCTTTGAACTTGTCGAAAATTTTGACTACTTCAGGAGAGTCAGTTTTTAATAGCAGTTTTCTCCCTCCATAGTCCTCTCCTCTTCTGGGCATGTCTAATAACTCTCTGTGCTAGTTTAGCAACTCTGCCCCTCCTTTACCTCTCTGTAGAATGTTTTATGTAGCTTCCAGGGAAGGAACGAGGAATACCATAGAATGTTACTTGATTGACAGTGATGAGTCTGCTGGGGCTACTGACATAACATCCAAGACGGTGGCACCCAGCAGCAGTCTAAAGGCTTTTAAATGTCTACACAAGGGAGGCTTATACAGATAAATAACATAAAACATTCACTGCTCTTATCATATGGGAATATTTATGTTGAAATGAATACATTTATTTCTCCACTGCTTAGCCTAATCCTGTGTTACCCTCATAAATGGTGTGAACTGCTGATCTTATTACCAGTTTATCCTTGCATTCTATTTCAATCGCAGTCGATCCAAAAATACAAGAAGCAGTGACATAACCATAGCCATAGCAGCACAGGAGGCTGCTTTGGGGCCTGTGGTAGGTGGGGCCCTATTAGGGGTGCTGGTTAGGAAAACTAGTATAGAAGGGCTGAAGTCAGACCTGGGGATCAACTAGTCATAGATCCCCCTCTGTGCAGTAAGAAGCATTTGGTCATCTATCTTAGCAGTGCAGATTTATTGTCCTCTGAATTTCTGCTACAGACTGAAATTAACCCTGTGTGTCTACTGCATTCACAAATCCCAGATCACAATTTTTTTTTAATTATAATATTAAATGAGAAAAAAACAATCCATAGGATATGTGAATTTTGGGTGAAGATGGTTCAGTAATCAGAATATCCATCCTTTTGGCTCATGTACAGTGTAAGTTAATGGTAGGCATTGGTAAGTTATTACAAACCACCCTTTATTCATTGAGAAAAAAACTAGCTGGGGTTAAATTACTGTATAGATGCATATTCATGATTATTTATTTATTTATTTTGTAATGCTCAATTATTGCAAAAGTATTTATTTTTGTCACTTAATGTTTAAATTCCAGGGCAATACTGTACAAATCTATGGTGGAGTATGTTCTTATATAAATGAAGAGCAATAATATAAACAGTAGGAGGTAATGTGCAGGTGCACTTTAACCCTCTATGCTTCTTCTATATTCAAGAAAGACATTAGATTACAGCAGAGCAGACATTATTGCTGATTTAAGCCCAGCAGCTATTTTTCTTACTGCTTTCCTCCAGGCTGCAAGTGAACAGTGCATAATGGCACATTACTAATAATCTAGTGAGTGCTTTTAAGCAGCTATGTAATTTAGTGCTATATAGCAAATCAACCTGTAATTTAGTTATCAAGATAATTGCTATTCTGGCATTATTCCAAAGGCTAGAAACCACTGCTCTGTTGTTCAACTGGTTGCAAGTACCATCAAATATTTGAGATTTCCCCTTGGGTATCATTTAAAAATGTTTTTCTTGGCACACATACATTTTACACAGTTTTATTGCATGCGTTTAAAAATGGTTTCCATAGAAAGATTGAGACACTGATAATGGGATTTTATGTTGCTAATAGAGTAACACTTCTGCTAATCAGAACATGTTTTTCTTATTGCACACAAATGGCCAGGGAAATACAGATATGACTAAATAAGAGAAATGAACAGGGATATGTGTTCATGTGCAGCCAGTGACGGAACTACCACCATAGAGACCCATGCAGTCGCTATTGGGCCAAGGACAGGGGGCTGGGGAGCGGGTCAGGAGCAGGTCAGGAGCAGGGCTGAGGTACTCCACTCTTCCCACACCCCGCGCCAGGCCAGCAGAGCACAGTGCCTCCACCCCCTGCACACCGAGCGGCAGCACCGCCTCCACCCCCCGCATACCGAGTCCCGCAGCAGAGCTCAGTAGCGGCAGTACTGCCTCTGCACACCGAGCCCGACCAGTTGAAGTCAGCGGTGGCAGCACCTGCAAGGGCAGCAGCAGAGAAGTCAACTAAGAGTGAGAAGGTAAGTAAGGCAAGTTAAGATAGGTGTAACACCTCATTCATCACCCTCTAAACTAAACAAGCAGTTAAACCATGCAGGGTGGGGGCAATGTAAGATTAATTTATAAGTATAATTGGCATTCAGCTTTAAGAATACTTTCAGGGCTAGTTCACATCACAAGTAGTGGGTTGCGGGCCAATTTGGTGCCGGAACGCACTAGATCGCATCCTGGCTGGCTCCCTGCGTTCAGGGATGGGGCGTGGTGGTGCATTGAAGTCAATGGCACCGCAGCTACACCCCCCTGGCTGCAGTGCAATTGCCAGAACCCAAACGCGTAGCACATCAATGCCTGTGTTCCGGCCCGGAGCGGTCAGAAGAAATGCATGCACTATTTTTTCTGACCGGAACGCAGGCATTGATGTGCCATGCATTTGGGTGTGGGCAACCACGCCCCCTCCCACCCCTGAATGCATGGAGGCGGCCAGGATGCGATCTAGTGTGTTCCAGCACCAAAGCAGACCGGAAACGCACTGCTTCTGGTGTGAACTAGCCCTTAGAATGACTCCAGATGGGAATCTCTCCTACAGCTTTTGAATTTTAAGAACTCTATTGAGATTCTCAACGTTGTGCCAGGTTAAATTTCCTAGTGGATGCTGTGAAACACTGTCTGTAGCATGCAGGGCCGGCGCTACTGTGGTGCCCCAGTGAATGCACCTCCACCCATCACTGCTTCCTGCTCCCCTTCTACACCGCTTGCCTCCCCCCCCAAATAGCACACAAGCCCAGCCGGGAGAAGTCAGCAGTGGCAGCACCTCATGGTTTAGGCAGGGGGGCCCATACTAAATTTTGCTATGGGGTCCTGGGATTTCTAGTTACGCTCCTGTGTGCAGGGAAATGACCTTGATTTAAACTTGACTATGTTTTCTAGCAATCAAAATGTATTTAATAATAATTCTAATATTTAAAAAATACCCTGTGACAAACCTAAGCGTATGATATTAAATTTATGTTGAATTTGTATTATATGAAATTAGTGCCAGCCACAGTTAACTATGTGCACCCATTACCATCATAAATCATACTCGTCCAAATGGTATTGGTGCCAATACCGAGTATTTGGTTGAGTACTCGTACTCGCCCAAATGCTCCGATACCGGAGCTTGCAGTGCCCCAAGGGAACATGGAGCAGGCTTCCGGGCCAGTCAGGAAGCCGGGCGGCGGGTAATGAACCTGACGAAGCCCCATGTGGGAGGGGTGAAACGCATCAACCAGTTTGACAGGCTTTAATAATCATCTGGAGACCGTAAAAGAAATGGAGAGAAATGCTCACATGTTGAGTGCAACATTCAAAACTTGTGGATCCCCTTTTGATTGAAACTTTGATCTTTAAAGTTCAGACAAAAACCATGTCCTGACACAGACAGGCAATGGTGGTAATGCTGGGGCGAAGGGTGAGCTTGATCCTCAGGAGTCCTATCTGCGTTGCAGGGCGGCTTCATGCATAGGAGACACTGACCGTTCTCCACATCGAGGGGGGGTTGTTGGGGGTACGTGAAAAGGCAGAGATAGGGTTGCAACCCGGATTCACCCGGACAGTCCGATTTTGAAATCTTGTTTCCGTTTTTCAAGTCAGCTGAGCCCCGGACACAAGATGTCAGAAGTTCAGGCGGATCGGGCAGCCAGCCCCGGGGTCCTACTGCTGAGGCGCACTGTGTTGGAGGCTGGGAGCTGACATGTGCGATCTGTGGTGGAGCTCCTCACAGTAAGTTCTCCTGTTCTGTGATCATTTTCTTTCTGTCAGAGAACTGCTTCCTGTTGGAGGTTAAGGGGGAGTATTTGTATTCCTTTGTTTGTGCCCTCATCATTTGTCATGTGTTACAATATCCCCTCCCGTCCCAGTGGAGCTGGGGGGGGGGGGGTGGGGAGAGGGAAGGAAGGTTTTTATTATTAAGGGAAAACAAAATCCAAACCCACATGGCCCTGTGTGAAAAAGTGTTTGCCCCCCACCCCCCTCTGTTAAAACATAACTTACCTCTGGTTTATCACACCTGAGTTCAATTTCTCTAGCCACACCCAGGCCTGATTACTGCCACACCTGTTCGCAATCAAGAAATCACTTACATAAGACTTGACTGACAAAGTGAAGTAGACCAAAAGATCCTCAAAAGCTACACATCATGTCGAGATCCAAAGAAATCCAGGAACAAAGCACTTTTTCACACAGGGCCATGTGGGTTTGGATTTTGTTTTCCCTTAATAATAAAAAAGCTTCTTTTAAAAACTGCATGTTGTGTTTACTTGTGTTATCTTTGACTAATATTTAAATTTGTTTGATGATCTGAAACATTAAAGTGTGACAAACGTGCAAAACAATGAAAAATCATATATATATATATAATGTGTGTGTGTGTAAGGGCTTGTTCACACCAATTGCAGTGCGTCCCAGAGCGGTAGCTGCTGGAACGCACCGCAATTGCTCACAAAACTTCCCCCTGTGTTCTGGAAGTCAATGTGGCTAACACAATACTCTGCTTTCCAGTGAGGTGCCACTACACTATTTTTGCCAAGTGCACCACCGCACAGCACTTTTAAGGGCTTGTTCACACCAACTGCGGTGCATTCCAGACCGGTAGATGCTGGAATGCACAGCAAGCGCACACTAAACTCCCCCCTTCGTTCTGGGGCAGGAGGGGGCACAGTGAAATCAGACGGGTGGCAAAACATTGCCTGCGTTCCGGCTCAGTGTGAACACACAAAAATGCAGCATGTTAGCTGAATGTCTGCATTATCTGGAAGTGCTGGCGGTTGTAAGCTGCAGAGAATCAGCAATGGATCATGGAAGAGAAAAGTTTAACACCGGGGGGCAGGGGGGTACTGTGAACTCTGTGAGTGTTAATAAATATCTGGAAGAATTATACTTACATTTATTTTCTTTAATACATGAAACATAAAAATATATCTCTTGTCTCTCTCTCCTGGCTATCTCTCCTTGCTTCTCCTATATTCTCCCCCCAAAAATTGCCATGCGACGCTATAGTGTTTGGGTTTCGCATGAAGAAAAGGTGGCAACCCTAGCCTGAGAGGGCAGCGGTGAGTATAGCCCTGGAAACTAAAGTCTTTTCAGCAGTGGAGGTGGGGTGAGAGAGAGGAGTGAGCAGGTGATTATCAAAGGCCAGTGATACTCTCCATGAGAGAGGGAGAAGTGGCAGCTCAGTTCGGCTTGTCAGCCGCATGCGAGCATAGGTCTGCCCGCGGTGCGGCGGGTTGTGGAAGCAGCGGTGTTCAGCTGTCTCAGAGGGAGAGTGACAGTGGCGTCTGAGGTGCAAAATAAGAATAAAACTCACAATGAGGCAGTGTGCGGACCTTTCTTTAATGGCAACGCGCTTCAAAGAGTTGCTCTTCTTTTTCAAGCCATGGTAGGGGAGAGGTGATATTGCGGGGAATTTTTAAATGGTTGCAGGGGGGGTGGAGTTTTGATAAATGGGCGTTCCTATGATGGAGGAATGCCATGATGGACATGTCAGGAGGTGTGAGAAAGGGATATGTGGTGAAGAAATAGGAATGTTTGGAACCAACATATACCAGTGGTAGATGGATTACTGAGAAAGGTGTATTGACTGGCATAGGTCATGGGAGGAGCTTAGTATATGTCCTCCCGTGACCCTAAAGAGAACTATGTGTTTTAGCATGCCTTAAAGTGTATCACAACCCAAAAGCAAACATTTATTTATCGCAGCTTACCAATTCTTAGATGTCATGGCTTTATTAGCTTTGGGGGGGGTTCTTTATTTTCACCTAATGATTTGGCTAATAATTAGGGTTGCACAGATACCAAGTACAGTACTCGGTACAAGTATGAGTACATGTACCGATACTTTTGAGCTCCAAGACTACAGTAGAGAAAAATTCACAAATTAGGAGGCAGCTGTCATTTGTAAGGATCACACGGAGCTCCTGGGATTTGTACATCTCTGTTTTAATGTACAATTTTGTTTTTATAAATAAAAGGATGCACAGATACCAGTTTTGCGAGTACGAGAACTGGTACTTGCCGAGTACTTACGAGTACTGATACATTTTTGTTTATTGTCATGTGGCAGTTTTTCTAAAACAATACAGACTAATGATTTCAGGACAGTGGTGGAGTGCCAGAGCCAGGTCGCAGCTGCAACCACTGCAACCCTGGTAGTTCTCATGAAAATGCCAAGTATCGGCACTGGTACTCGAAAAGTATCTGTGCAACCCTACTAATAATCTTTATCAGACCAAGCTGTTGCACAAAAGTGGCAGTTAGAGGGTTGAGACAAACCATTTAACGCTCACTGGGATTCTTACAACTGTCAGCTTTTATTGATTTCATAATTTTTTTTATCTCAAATGAAATAAAAACCTGTTGCTATAAGTGATTAAAAAGTGTTATCTGGAGTTCAGATTTAATTTGTTATTCAAGTCCATCTAAATATGCTAGTGCACTAACTTAACACTACCGTCCCCACAGGGTGGCAATGCTTCTGTTCAAGGGTGGCTCTGTTGCTCCTCCATAGAGTGAAGTCTCCCTAAGACAGGAAATGTGTTACTGGCTGGATCACCAGATGAAAATAAAGTGAAAAAGCCTACAAAAAATAAATAAAATGAATGCAGCCACAACATGTGATGATTTGTAAGCCGGAATATATTACATTTTTTTTGGGTTTAGATACCCTTTAAGTCCTCTTAAAACTTGATCAAGGAGGGCCTTGATTGTGGTGGCTATTAATGGAGGCCTGGCATTGTGAGTATTTTTAAAAGCGGGCATGGTAACTAAAGTGTCTCTAATCTCATTTTGAAAATCTGGTAACCTTACAATATATTCTACACAGATTTGTTGTTGTGCAGCCACTCTTTCTCATCAGCATGTCATAGCTGGGTAGGACATGAACCAGGAAATACAAGCCAAATTACCATCATGCAATGGGAACTTTCGCTGCTCTGCTTCTGTTT